TAAACTAAATGATCAATGTGAACGTGGTAGCATGTGCGGACTACGCCTCCAAATTAGCATTTTTAAAGTTATCTGAAATCACGCGTTTATAGTTATGTTTTTAAAACTTTTTTTTCTATAAAAGCAAATAATTTAAAACTAACGGTACTTGAAATGAAAAAACAAAACAGTTATGCATTGAGAGGTAAAGTTAATGGAGAAAAGCTGCTTATTCGTTTATGGGAGTCATAAAAAATAACCATACTATTTGACACCAATAATGGTTAATAAATGTTGATAATATGTATTAATTGAAAGAAAAAATAAGCTATGTACTAAAAAGCTAAGTTAATAAAGAAAATTTACTTAATAGTATAGGAGGGCCCTAAAAAATCGTCATACTAATATTGATACTTAATTAATTTTGATGAATGAATTATAATTGATAGAACTTTTTTAAACCATTACTCATAAATACTTTAAACGGCATATTAAAGGTCAGTTAGAGAAATGGTCATGCTTTTACTTTTCTTAAAGTTCTTATCAAGGTCTTGTAAGAATTTCATTTGGTTACCACTGATAAATGTATTTCGCACAAAACTGAAATGTTGGAAGGTATGCAATAAGTAACAATTATATTAATATAAGTACAAAGAATTAGATTTATATATTTGGCAATTATTAAAATTGCACCAGCTGAGCAATTTTAAGACAGACACTGTGAGTGCGAAAGGCATTGGAGAAATAGACATTTGGCCATCTTGAGCATCATGTCAAATGACAGTTACTCTTTATTCTGTCGGCATGGTCAACAAATATTAAAATACTTGAATTTATCTTAGATTTATTAACTGCCTTTAAGTTTAATGCATGATTATGCATTACTGAAGACAACTTTCTTTTATTCACCGAACAGACATTCTGCTAGTCTGGTTATGAAAAACAGCATGAAACACCTGTGTTGAAACTCTGAGTTGAAGGTAAAATCTTCCAAACACGGCTGCATTGCAAACAATAATTTACCAAATTAGCACTTATTTGCAGTGATTTAGATCAAAGAAAAATAGTTATTCATCATAGAAATTTCTCTGATTTACAAATCAATTATTGATACATTTTTGAATATGAATGAAAAAAAGAAAAAATTCAAACTATGTACTTTTAAGATTTTGTATTTTAGTGCAAATATAATACCGATAATCTAACAGTTTTTCTTAGTAACTATTAGATTGTTTCTTATAATTAAAAATTACCAAAATATTTATTTTGCTTGCAATTAGAGCATCAGAAAAAAAATCTATAGAAATAAAAGCGAAACCAGTGTCCGATCTACGTCAGACGTTTGAGGATGCTCACTTTCTGAAATTAGAAATCATAAGTTGTTTTGTTCTACATCAGAACAATCCAGTCATTAATCAATTGAAATCTTACTTTCCACGGAGTGTGTTATTGCACTACTAACGCTTTCTATCACAGAAGATTATTTAGGTTAGGTTGTGAGATGATGATGACTTTATAAAAACACAGAGGGAAACAAATTAATAACATAAAGTTCATTTATTCACATATTTAAATAACTATTAAACTTCAGTACTTATTTTTTTTCACATAAGATACGATCATTTCACAGTTTTTTAATGAAAAAATAAAATTAAAAATTTGAAATAAAAATACGTTGTTAAAAGATGAACATCTGAAGAGCAGAGTGCAAGAAAATTTTGGAACATTTTATAAATATGGTTTTAAAAAGACATTTTTTGTACGGATCAGTAGAACTTTGATTATCTGAAGTAATCAGGACCTATTTGGATATTTAGATTGTAGTTAGAAAACAAAGTGTGTGTGGTTGAAAAAGCCAAAGCCTACAAGGTGTTGTTGTGCTTCGGAAGGAGAGGTAACATCGTTTTATGATCTATTTTCATAAATCTATATCATATTCTCATAAACTATAAATTATTTTCAAAGAATAATGGTCAGGGCTGCAAGTTTGTCGCGGGAAAAAAAGACCCCAAATTCGCGGAAAATTTTGAAAATTACACAGATTCTAACTAGAAAAAAATTTATTATATAAATGATGCAAAAGACAAAAATTGCGCAAATAATAAAAAAAGCTTAAAAATACACAACAAAAGCATACCTGCCAACTTTTACGCATTTGGCGTAAAATTTTATTTCTATATTTCAAGTGGTAGTAAAATGTATGCTTTCTATATATTCCTTTCATTTATAAACTTAATTTATAATATTTTTGATCTACCACTGTTTTTAAAATAATTAAGCTTATATACTATTATGCAAAACAGTTGCGGTAATCCGTATAAGTTTGTTCAAAATACAGCGAATGCTTCTGCCTAAAATTGTATTTTAAATTTCAATTTACTACCACTGGGGAAAATAATCCTTGAAAGGATTACAAGTTGGCAGGTATGCAAAAGTATTTCTTTGAATTTCAAGCAATATTAATATTTTTACTTAAATGAACAGAATTTTGGTACAAAGTACTGTACATTGTCAGATTATTCTCATTTATCCTTCGTCTTTCATCACTTACTACATTTTTATACTTAGAAAACGCTCTTTCTGCGTCAACGCCACTTTTGCCAATTTTGGAGCGTTGGGTCTTTAATTTCCAAAACTCGATCAATTTTCCTTCACCAACGCGCAATTCCTTGACCGTTGCTTTGTAAGAAGTAACTGTTGTGAAAACTCAAACATTCTACATTCAAACTACTAGTTACAAGTCCCTACTAATTACTAGTCCCCCCCCTTCATCTAAGAAACTGATCCATATTTAAGAAATCACAAGAAGCCGCCTAGGCCCAGTGCAATAGCATGTATAACAATTTTTCTGTCAAAGATTTGATTTATAACATCTTCCTTCTTTTGTGATTCCAATTTCTTTTGTACTCTTACTGACTTCAGGAAGGTAATTACCCTCCCTAAGTGTAGAAAGACCACCTTAGTTGACAAGATTGTGATTATCTCTAATCTCTGAACTATTTTCACATAATTTTGCTATTGATTCACTCCCCTAAATATCTAATCAATTTTACATGTTCAATTTAAGGTGCAGGAAAGTAAAAAATTCTGTTTAATAAAAATAATAAATAAAAAATGCGAAAAAAAGCAAATTTTAAGCAATATTCGCGCAAGTCAAGACATATTAAGAAATTCGCGGATTTTAGAAAAAAGATGACAATTTCGCAGAAATTCGCACCGCGACAAACCTGCAGCCCTAATAATGGTATATACCATATTTTATATATATATAATAACATATATATTGCTCATAATAGCAGTATTCTTTTTTTTTTAATAAATCATTTGTACGACGCACAATCTAAATCTGAATCGTTAGCAGTTTTCACGAATTTTTAAAAATTATTTATAATTTCTTAAAGTATTCTTTCGATTCCATTCGCACGAAATTTTTTTCCGTCTAGATAAAACATGCTACTTTTCCTCAGAAATAGAAGATGTGATAGTAAAAGGAAACTACATAAGTTTTAATTAAAAAGCAGACGAAGCAACTGAAGTTATAACTTACTACCTAGTTACTACATAACTACTTCAATTGTTTATTACATGACTACATAACTGATCATGCAGCACAAATAGTATTCTTTCAAAATCTTAATGGCTTCTTGTATAGCTGAATTATGACTACATATTACTAAAATTAAAATTTTTTCTTTAAAATTGTTTTTGTTTAACGACGATAAAATGAAACCTGTTAAGTTGATCGCTTTTTTAAGTTGATTTTAATGATCAAGTACCAAACGGGCAGAAATTTTTTTATTATCTCTTTATAAGTTGTCCATTAATCTAAGCTGACCATCAAATTGTTGCCTCACAAGTGGCCACAGTCTTCACTGCATTCTATTTTATATTCTGAAAAAAATAGAGTCAGAATATAAAAGTTCTACTGTATAAAAAAATAATTTATGAATAACTAAGGCTTTTTAAAAATTATTCTCACAAATAACCAAGATAGAGCTTAAAATGTTTTTCGATCATAACAGAGCTGCAGATTTCTCCAAAACAGTTTTAGAATAAGTTTAAGATCATAGAGAATAAACAATTAAAAGTTAATATTTCCACTAAACTCTTCAATTTTAATGTCTCTGTTCAGATTCTTGATATCATAAAAATGATCAGATCGTCAATTAAATTATAGAAGTTAGTATTTTAGAGTCAATAAAATAATAGAAGGTAAATTTGCTTCTGGTTGGGCGTCTAAATACATCATCAAATTTGTAATGTAATCACCTGATCACCATAAATCAAATGTTTATACAATAATCAACCATGATCAGTTGGGTAATTGATTTAATTTTAAATAAAATAAAACTGGTATACTTGTTAACTGTTTAATCTCATGTATATATAATAGATTTTAAAACATACTTAAATTGTTTAGTTAAGTATATAAAAAATGAGAAAATTTACAGTTTTTTTTAAAACATTTCTAAGAAAATAACTATAAAAAAACAGGGATGCAATAAAAAAAAAAGCGTTTGTTCGGTTAATTTAAGTATTTACAAAACACATACACTTCTTATGGAGAAATTATTCCTAACACAAAAAAATTAATATATAAAAACATGGTATACATTACTTTAGAGTTATGTTCAAAGATAATATTTCCATTTAAAATTCTTCATCCCTTCACTTTGTAATACAATATGAACAAAAACAAAAAATAGTTGTTAGGTTACTTACAACATTCTGATGTCTATAATTTTTTTAATGGATTTTTTAAAATAATAAAAGCAAAAATTAAAATTTTTACACCATTTTCGAATGTTTGATAAATAAAGGAGGTAATATGTACACTTTTCAAGAAATAACACTAAAATTAAAAGCTGTCCAAAAGTCATTACCTATGCTAAAATTTTGATTATTTAAATACTTTCTTTTTATGACTTTCGTTATAAATATCGAAAGGAACTAGATTTTAAAAAAAAGTAACTGATACAATCTTTTAAATGCTAGAAATATTAAATTTTAAATTGGTGAAATCGAATCAGATAAATATTTTATTATACAATACTTTCAAGAAACATTTACAAACACACTACATACATGTCCTCATTTAGATTAAAGCTAAATAATATACAAACAAACCTATACATAAAACAAAAATACACAGCTTTGCACATGAATCAAAAGCTCATTAGATGGAATTGCTTCCACACCACTGGAGATTGAGGGGACAATACTTTATTTTTAGTGAAAGTTGGGACCATATTAGTTTAAGAATATAAATGATAATTACATACCTAATATAATGATGGAAGTTTCTTTCACAGAGGAAAAAAACTGTCATAGAAAAAATAGGTTTCTTCCAACCCCAAGTGAAAGAAACTAATTTTCAAAAAGAAATACCAGATATTAAAACAATTTTTTTAAACAGCTCATTGCAATACAGTTTAAAAAATTTTATTAATTTCCAAGCTATTTAATATATACATTTTTAATGAGAAAATACAAATAAAAAACAATTGTAAAGAAAAATAAATTTCTTAAGAAACTAAAATCCTTGAAATCCATCAATATTTTACGTAAATGCTTATTTTATACCAGTAAATACTTGTTTTAAAATTATGTAACTAACTAAAAATATCAAAATAAAATTTAATTAATACTGCAATTTTAACAAATCACATGTTAAACTTATACACTATGACAAATCACACACTGAATTCCTAATTATATAGCATATTAATTTTTAAAGTCAAATACTGTTTTTAAGTATAAATACACAAACAAACACGTGAATATCATGCTATATAGATTTTTAAATTCTATATAAAACTAAAAAAAAATAATATGAAAATAGTTTTTTTTTTAAAGAGTAGATATGAAAAACTTAACCTTCTGGCACTATATTAAATTTAACTTATTTTATAATTAAATGTAAGTTTTTATAATACTATGCAATTGTCATTTTTAGTTTCTTCCATTGGGTTCAATTTCCTTCAGTGTCCTTGAAGAAATAATTTTTTCTGAACCAATCTGTCAATCCTGCATTAAGTTGAATGAGAATATATAGTAGTCTCTCTTTAATGAAATGAATCGTTCCAGTTGAAAAATTTCACAGTTAAGTAAATCCAGCAAAATTTTTAATCTGTGTGGTGACTTTAAAAGTTGATAAGTAAAAAGAGTCTTTTAATTAAATACTAAGTAACACATATTTATTGCATTCATTAATTTTCTAATTGTGTCAATAAAAGGCTAAAAAGTGAACATAATTTATCAGACGTGTTACAGAGAATTGATTGCATAGAAATCTCATTTTAATTGCAATTTTGTTTTAAAAAAAAAGAATAGAAAAGATAAATGCCCAAAAAATTCCTCATTGGGAGAAATTCGCTGTAAGGAGACTTCATTGCGGGGAGGTTCTTCTGAAATTTAATTCTGTTTTCAAACTAAAACTGCTCAGTTAAGTTAACCTTTCATAAAAAAAAGTCCACTATCAATAAATTTGGACAATGAAGAGGTTTTATCGATTCTAAATAGATTTTCCTTCAATTTAATAGCAAATATTGAAATCTTGTTCATCCCAATGAATTATATAAATCATGATGAATAAATTGCTTAAAGTGATAATTGAATATTTTTGCAGATTTTTGTAAACAATAAAAAATTCTTAAAGCAACCAGAAGAATAAAAATAAAAAATTCGTAACTTTTTGCAATGCAAACCATCAAATTTTTTATAAGATTTTACCAAATAACATAAAACATAACAAAAACATAAAACATTTTGGACATAATATTAAAAATTCTTTTCGAATTTCTAAAAGCATTGGGTTTTAATGCATCCGATACCTTATGAAAATAATTAACTTTTATTTATTACAAAATAAAAAAAAAGGTTCAATAACAGGAGAATTATTTAGCTGGGCTAGGCTCTCACAAAGATACAGAAGAGGCAATTGTTTTTTTAATAACATATTTACAAATTTACTGGGCAAATATTTTCCAGAATTTCAACCATAGGAAACAAGGTACAGGCGTAAACATTCTGCTCATCGAGTTGATCAGAAAAAAACAAAAACGAGATTTGAATCATTTACCGGAATTAAATAATAGTCCAACGGTTTTAAGAAGAAGAGTATTCACTCTTTAAGTCTCGAAGAAAAGTCAGCAGTTGAGTTTCAGTACGGTCCCTGAGGATGATAAGGGTGATGCTGTTGTTGCTGTGGATGAGGAGGACCTTGGTTATTGGTATTTATGTGTTGCAAATGAGCAACCAATGCTTGCTGCTGTTGTTGTCGTTGCTGCTGCTGATTCTTTTGTTGCATGGCCATAATTTGCTGCTGATGGCATATCTGCTGCATATGCATCTGGTTGGATGTTCCACCCGCTGACATTGCCTGCGGATTGGATTGCCCACCGTAGGTGTTGCCACTATTTTGAACCATTTGTGACCCAGACAAATGAGGTCCGCCTCCCATTTGGTTGACTGTCACATTAGGAGCTCCCATACTGTATTGTGATCTAAACACAACAGTGGTTTTAAAATATGATTTTTGTTTAAAAATTTATACAAATAACAACTAAAAACTGTAACTTTTAAAGAAAAATGACAAACCTTAACAAAAAAATAAATACTCTTAGCATAATATAGTACAAATTTGATAATTCAAAACAATATTAGAAGTCAAGAATGAGTCAAGTCATTTTCATATCATTTTGTCTTTGTAGAAAAGATAAAAGAGTATGTTTAAAACATTTTATCTGCGAATTTTTCAAATAAATTTCCAAATTTTAGTTGATTTGATTTAAATATACATTAAGCGACAAAACAAAAATGCAATTGAGAAATTTTAAATCTTTATAAAAAAGTAATTAAAAACTTTATTTAAGAAATATATGTGTACAAAAGTGAAAAATGGCAAAAATGAAGAATTGAAACGGAAAATAAGTTTAGCATTAAAATTTTTAATTCTTAAAAAATGAGTCTGTAACAGTTCAACATGCTCAAAGTAAACAAAAAATTTTGAAAAGTAGGAAATAATAAATAGAAAATAAGAAAAAGTGCTAACTATACTTTTGGAAGAGGGTATCCTTTTTTTTAAACACAAAAAACAATATAGTAATTCTGGACTCATAGTGAGCGAAGATTTTTAGCGATTTTTACCATAGCCAAGATTTTTAACTCGTAGCGATTTTCACCATATTTAATTTAAATGAATAGATGCTAGAACAAAAATCGTAATATTTTGTCTTTCGAATCCGTCATTTCAAAATGCACATTTGCATTTCTGAACACACAAAAATCAGGAATATTGAGACAAAAAGCTAAAAATCAAGAATATCAGGATAAAAAGCTGAAAATCAAAACAATAAGGACAAAAATATTCATCAGGAAAATCAGGACAACTATAAACCTTATGCATTTTGAAATACCTCACAATATAGTAGAATAATCAGTTTTAATGATAACCCAGGGGTAGATAAAGAAAATTTGGTCATCAGTATCTAAGAAATGTTACATGTTTTTATTATATATATACACATACACTAATTTAATTAATATACATATATATATATTAATTTAATTAATAAATATATCTATTAATTGAAAAATTTAATATAAATTTTAATTAAAAAAAATCACGCACAATTTAAAGAATTGGAATTTTTACAATTATGATGAAATATAGACTAAAACTGCCAAAACTCAGATTCCCACACAATTGTTATTGACTTCTGGCCTGTAGGTCAGCAATTTCTCGAAAGAGATGGATTAAGAAGGGAGTAATGTAAAGAACGCAAGTAAATAAACTCCCATTTTGAAATTGGGCATTTTATATTTTTTTAAAATTATGTATATTCAAGATATATGTATAATTATGTACATTAATTTTTTTTATTTTTATCAAAATTCTGTTCATAACAGTTACAAGCAAAATTACTTATCATCGGAAGATAATGAGCAAAATTTGGAGCTAATTTTTTTTAATTGAGAGAAAATTCTCTCGCACTCTGCTTAACTATGTGGAATGCATATCCAACATAAAATCTGGATATCCAACATAAAATCTGCTATATTTTTGAACTGTTTAGTTTTATACAGTTCATTTTCTAGTTGCCCAATTGACCCTCCCAGTAAATGATTCTGAAAACAGAAATACATATATGTTTTAACGACGATCGTTAAAAATACAATGCAAGCATCGAAGTTAATACCAGATTTTTATACGTAAATAACAAGGTTCATAATCAGAGAAAAAACGATTAAGTGAATAAATGACTCACAGCAGCATTTTCACTACATATGGTTTGGTCGGCGTGGCAGCACATAAACTGCAATACTGGCACTAACGCTATCTTTCGAAGATTAAGAGAGGTATTTTTGCCATTAGCAGATATTTATCACTAAAAAAAATTTCTTAAAAAAAATACGAAAAAAATTTGAGAAAATACACGTAAATGGGAGATAGTCGCAAGAATACGGCAGCCTTCATTAAAAAACAGGAGACTTGACAGATGTTTTACAATGTATACCTGTTTGGTTGAGGCATGTATTGACTTTGTTGATTTCGTATAGAATTTGGACCCATCATTCCAGAAGCTGTTTGCTGAGCTCCATATGATTGGTTGAAGTTACTTGAAAGCATAGATGAGTTTCTAGACTCCATCATATTTGCATTGGGTGGAATACCTGAGCCACTGTAATTTCCATAGCCTTGAGTCATTCCTATAACACATATAATAATTCATTTTCACAGTCTGCAAAATTATAAACAATGAACGTGGAAGGTATGCATCATGCGCTCCCAGACACAATAAAATTCTAAGTAGAGTTTAAAACTTTCAAAATTTTTTAATTTAAAAACTAAAATTCCAATCTTTTTTAAAGAATTTATAAAGTAAGCGATGAAAATGCTTCTTCTTTTTCTACCCTGCACTGCAGTGTATTGCTGGCTATATTGCCTCAAGCAACTTATTACATTTTAATCAGCAGATGCTATCACTTTCCATTTATTAACACCCTTACGGTTCCCACAGTCCTTCCTTTACAGCCCTTATAGCTTGTGAAAAGTTATTTTTATATTTTTAACTGGGTTTTCATACATTACGGTAATTTTACCAGAATTTTTTTCTCTATGTAAAGATAAGCATGCCAGGAACAGGTATAAAACATTCAAAATAATTGAGCTAATGTGAAACGACATGGGAAATCCTTTGCATTGTTTTCATTGATAAATGGCAGTGACTAAACATAAGTATCTTATAGTAATTTTATAAGATACTATAAGCTACTCATACTATTTATACTTTGCATATATAGCCAATCCATGATTCAATGGAGTCAGATTATGTCTTGGTAGTTTGAAATCTACTCCAATATTCCCAGTGGTTCCAAAGAAGAGTCTATAGATATGATGAACAAACCCGAATGTTCTCATTGTAGGGAACTGCTCACTATTACACATATTTTAACCAAGTGTAACAAATTTAAAACCCAGAGACAACACCATTTTGGTAGCTTTAATCCAATATTGACTTCATTAATTGGGGATAAACCCTGCAATAGCATTTTTAATTATCTGAGGGACATTGATTTTTGCAAATCAATTTAGCTTTAACTTATAGCAGAATGTTTTTTAAGAAACAAGTTATAGGTGCGGTACGGCAAAAAATGGCTTTTGCTCCTGTCAACGCTTAATAAGATATGTTCAATTCTAATAAATAAAGTTAACACCCACGCATGATCTTCTAAAGGATCATGAGTGTGTGGAAGTGGCGTTCATCACGCGCCACGAAAAATAACTGTACATTCTCGTTCTCTCTCTGCACAGAGAATCCCGCTGGTCAACCGCTCCTCTCGTCTGCCTAGGACGCTTTGCTGTTTCTTATATTAAATAAAATTTTTATTTGAATCATATAGTTCACTGCTGCAATCATTTGCAACACACACATAAAATCCTCCTCCAACATTTCTTAATAAACTAACCAAACTAACTGGATTGGATGAAACTATTTCAACTTATAGAGTTTTCATTACCAACACTATAACTTGGTTTTCTTAAGTTGTATCATATTATCTTTACATGGTTCTTTCATCAGGGGTGATTGTGAGCCTAACTCAAAAATCCGGAAAATTTCTTGAGCAAAATCATTAATGACGCATTTCAAAATATAATATCTTTATAAATTGAAATCATTGTTGATATTTTCAAACATGAAATTCTAAATAAATTACATGTAGTATGATTTGAATTACTTTTAGAACTTTTATCTCTAATCACATTTATAACACTACCAGAAAAAAATTTACAAATGAAAGAGATGCTAAGAATAAATTCTAGTTCTATTATTTTAAAACAAAATATACTAGAATTTTTATACATAAATGTGATCGATGATTTCTTGAAACTTGTAGACCTTGGATATCCGGAAACTTCTGGATCGTAGTTAGCAAAAAATCTGGAATTTTTCCGGAGTACAATCACCTCTGTTTTATCGCATTAAAAAATCTGCTTGAGAATTTTCGTTCACACATAAGCAATCTATTTTTTTCCTTGATTTATTCATTGTCCAACATTTGCTTCCATAAAATATTAGTGTTATTAAGGTCTCATATGGTTATAAATTTGTTTCCTTGCTCGAGCATTTCCCTTAAAATAGACCTCAGCCGTGTGGCAGAATTTTTTCGCGCTTTCTGCGACATACCTCTCTAATATTAATATCTTTCTGCAGGATACTTTTAATAATAACAAATATACACGTTACTAATTTAAAGCAACAGATATATATATATACTTACTTTTTGAATAAAATAATATAATTATTTTTCTTTGTTCGAATGTGTAATATTTTTGCATTCTAATATTATGGCCGATATTCGCGCATTTTGTAGGGTGAAAACACATTAATTATTTCCTTTTTCTTATTTTGAATATCATCATCACATTAAAAAAAATAATTTGTTCAGTTCACAAATATTTAAATTGATTGGGCAATTCAGAAATCTTATTTTATTGGTAGCGAATTTGGAGTTTTGTTGGTTGCTGCTATCTTACCTTCATTGACTGTTAAGCCAAGATTTTAAGCGGCAGTCTCAAAGGCATTAAAAAGATTTGATAAAGGCTTCCTTAATTCTTAGACAAAAGAAACTGTTTTTTTTATTAAATTGAAGTCTGAAATTATTTGTTAATTCCTTAAAAAAAGTAAATGTTTTAATTATTAAAAAAATAATTATTCATTCAGATATCTGCATTAAAAAAATTACAGGACTGGAAGTTCAAAATATAAAAATTAAGGACAAAATCGCCTTCAAACTTAAGGATGCTGATTCTCTACTAGGAGCAATTTGTACGATTGGAAGCAATTTGTTTGGAGCAGCATGGATTCGCAGTAATACAATTGGTTATAATTTTAGTAGTTCCTGCACTTAAGTGAAAAAAAACTCAGATTTTAAGTTCAAAAATTTCACTTTTGGTTTTCTATTAACAAAAAGAGGAGAGAAAATAGTCTAAATGTGGAAAATTGTTACATAGTAGGATTCTCTCGTGAAAAACTGTAGAGCATGGTATAGTTATTAGGGAGAAATAGAGAGATAAGAATTTATATATTTCTCCTACATCGAATGCTTTTGTGCCATCAAATCAAGGGTAATTGTCTCTAATAATGGAAGCAGATTAATATCGCACTTGACGCGCTACGAAGACTTTTTCCTTTGTTTTATTTACTTTGTTTCATGGCATATAACATAATTTTGGAATTTAAAATTTCTTCAATTCTTTTTTAGATAAATAATATTTATTCTTCCTGTTCCCTTATACAAAAATTTGGAAAATCCCAAAAATTTCAAGAAATTTAAGGACACTTTCTTTTTTTAAAAGAGAAATTAAGGAATTTAAGACAACTTTGAGCATTGAATTAATAAAAACTTTTATGAATAATAAAACACAAAGAAATAATAATCCAATTTCACTGCTAATAGAGATTTCAATATATAATTTTAAAGAGTTAATAAAAAACTAGGTTATAAGAATTTTATCTCAGATTTTAAAAAATTAAGAACCAAAAGTGAAAAACGAGCACTTCTTTAATGATCTTAAAAACAACTTAACGAATTAATAGCCTTGAGAGAAAATAATTACCTTGAGGTGGTAAATGATGTAATGCAGCAGTTTGTGCTGAACTTCCCTGCATACCATGCGGATACATAGGACCACCAGGACCACTCTGAAATAATCCATTGAATTAATATAATAAAAGCTTAAAAATTATTAACACAATTATTTTTTATATAATGGAAATATAGAACTGATTTAGAACATAAGATTATAAATGAAGGGATGGAAGGTAGAATTTAAAGGTACAAAAGTGAACTAAAAACTACTCAAACCATAAATTATATTTAAGATGACGAAAAACAAATAGCATTATAACTAAGTGAGATGAAACACAACAAAAGGAAGAATCATTGTGTCTCATAATAAGTTTTTAAAAATAAATATTGATGCTGATGAGCAATGGTAAGAAAGCTATATACCAAGAAAATGTTTAACATGTTCAAAATAATTTAAAAAAATTTAAGATAAATAAAATAAAGATAACAAAAGAAGGAAGGTCTTACAGGCATTCTTTGAGGTTGAAGTTGCTGTCGCATCAACATTTGCCTTTTCTGCATCATTTCCATAGAGAAACCAGCAGGAGGATTAGATCCTGGATGGTTGACAGGCATAGGACCTCCACTTCCTGTGATATGACTCCCACTCATAGCTCCAGGCATTGCACCACCACCTCCAGCATTTTGATGCTGATTGCTTGCACCAGGTCCAGGCAGAAACTGAGTGGAGGGATGGCGTGCACGTAGCATTGAGCTCAAAGCTTGCTTAGATTGAGAAATAGGTCGCTCAAACCTTGGACCACCAGCTATGATGAAAAATTTTATTAAATTAGTTGGTTCTTTTTTCTTAAAAAAAAAATTCAATAAAAAATATTTTTTATCATATAAAATGCAAGGAAATGTCAAAATGAACGGTTTTAAATTCAGAGAAAAAATAATGCTACAAGTAGCATCATGTTTTTCAAGGTTTCTACTAATTTTAGAAATAAAGTTCCCTAACTTTTCCAGGAAAATTTCAACATATTTCCAACGTAAATTTTTGCTATACACTGTAATATTTTATTAAAAGTATTTTTTTATTTAATAAGCAATTGAACTTACTTTTTGATAGAAAATAACTATATTACATAATTTAAAATAACAAGTACCATTCATAATATTCAAATATATTAATTATAGATATAGGCAATATTTTGCATAAAAGCTTGTAAAAATAGATACTTAAAGAGAATTTAAAATATAATTTTTAAAAACATAGTATTATTGAACTATAGTATTAAGAACAGTTACTTGAAAAAGTTGAAACAAAACATTAATTAACAGAGTAATTTTCAAAAAGTACAAATTTATATTCTTATATCATAAGCCTAAAAAAATTTAATAATGATGCTACAGAATTTTTTACAATAAACATAAACGTGAAACTTATTTACTTGTAACCTCATCAGCTACTTAATTGCTATATAGATATATTTCATTCTAGGCAGGGTAAACAGGGCGCTGCACCCTGCTGCCCTTTTAGTCAAAAGAATCCACCCTGTTGCCCCCCCTGAAGTAAATTAATGCCCTGATATAATAGACCCCATAACCTTATTGCCCTTTCTTTCCTCAACCCTTCTTTGTTTTCTCCCCAAACTCTACTATGGATTTCTTAAACTTTTGTTACTTTCAACTCTTTTTATTTAGNAAAGGGTATGGAGTCTATTACATCAGGGGCAACAGGGTGGATTCTTTTGACTAAAGGGGCAGCAGGGTGCTGCGCCCTGTTTACCCTGCCTAGAATAAGCTCTGATATATATGCACACAAAAATTTGACAAAAAAGTGCAATTTTTAAACTTGTAAACCATGTGATTATAAATCCCGAATATTAATTTTAAAATTGCATGAATATATAAATATGAATCACATGCATGATTTTAAATTAAGAGAATATGAATCCCGAAATGAGGCTTTCAAATCACGTGAACATGAAACTCTATATCGAATTTAAAAAATGCGAAAATACAAATCATGATGCGTAATTTTTGGATCACGTAAATACGAATCCCGATGCGTAATTTTTAAATAGCGTGAATACGAATCCCACTGTCTAATTTTTAAAGCACGTATAAATAGAAAAATTGATGTTTGATATCACAACCGCAAAAAAGAATCACGACATTGGATTTTAAGCTCGCCTGAATACGAATCGCTACAAAGGGTTTTAAAAGTGCGTAATTACAAATCGCGATATTGGATTTTTAAATCTCGTAAATAAGAATCACAATACACGACATTTAAATCGCCTGATTAAAAATCGCAACGTTCAACTTTTATGACAGGTAAATACGAAAATCAATGTTTGAGGGAGGAATGAGGACTTCAATACTTTCCCTGAGCGGAAAATTTAATTCCTCATAAAATATTTTAACTTGTGCACAAAAAAAAATTTCAGCAGAAATTAGCGGGAAAAATTGAAAAATCTGAAAAAAAGCGGAAATCCGCTAATCCGCGGAAGAATCACATCCCTGTAGTTTAAAGCAAGATTTTTTCCAGGTTTTGGCAAAAAATTGCATTAATCCCTGACAATAAGGGTTTAACAAACCCTGGTTTATGAAATCAATAAAAGTGATTTTCTACCCATTTTTCCAATGTTAGATATTAGTTGCTGCTGCTGTTTAAATTTTGAAATTTATTCTGTCACAACTTTCGTGGAAAATTAACATTACAGGGAGCAGAAAAAAAAAAAAAAAAACGAGGCAAAATTTTTTTAATGTAACTTTATTATAATAAATAAATTTACAAAATATAAAAATAATAATAAGATCACACTTTTACTAATAAATAAATTTAATTCAAATTGGGTGCCTTTTGCAGCAATGCAGAAGCACAAAAGCTTATTTAAACATTCAGCAATGGGACAAAAGTCTCCTGCCTTTAATCAAAACTTTTGTGTACAGAGTGAACGAACGATTTTACGCTTCCATTTTACGTATGGAAAATACGAGGATTCTCTTGTGAAAAACATTAGAGTATGATATAGAGATGAGGAGGTAGTAGAGAATAGGAAATAACTTTTTATATATTTCTCCTACATCAAATTTTTTTATGCCATCAAATCAAGGGTAATTGTCTCTAACATTGGAAGTAGATTAATATATTTCAACGTGCAACGAAGACTTTGTCCTTCATTTTATTTACTTTATTTCATGGCATATAACATAATTTTAGAATTTGAAATTTCTTCAATTCTTTTCTAGATAAATAATATTTTTCCTCCCTGTTAACTTCAACAAAAATATGGAATAATCAAAAACATTTCAGGAGATTTTTTGAAATGTTTAATAATCAACGACATTTAAGGACACATTCTATTTTTTTTTCTTTTTTAAAGAAGATTAAGAAAGTATGTAAGTCCTTTGAGCCCTAAATATGTAAACTAAAGGATATATTTTATAATTAAAGTGGTGAACAAAAAGAAATGAATACACAAATTAAAAAGAGATAAGGTAACTTCTATATTATGCCAGCTAACGGTCCTGCAAATTCAACTGTTTGACATTAAACTTATAATTTCAAGTATATTATGGTAAAACGATGACTGAATAAATTTCATTCTTCACGTTAAATATGATTTAAAAAAAATTTGGGGAGGGGGGAGCACAGCTACTAATTTGATTTATGAACTTGGGGTTCTGCCGACAGATGCTTGGTCATTTAGGGTTCCGTAGCCAATTGGGAACCGCTGAATCGGAAACCCTGCATGAAAGTACTGTCCCAATTTGCTAAAAAAATTTTGAAAGATAAAAACATAATGTTTAGTATCACAATGCGAAATCTTGATCTTGCACAAAATAAAAAAAAAACTAGTTTACAGAGATAATTTAAAATAATAAAAAAAAGGAAGATAATGATAAAAAAGTGAAAAATCACAGATCCGAGGAAGAATTTTGCTAGAATAAAGTTCCATAATTACTTTTTCATAACAACTAAAAAACAAGTATTACAAGAATTTAAATATATTACCAGGTGGCAGTGGCTGTTGAGGTGAATAATAAGGAGGTTGTTGCATGGAAGGTTGTTGTCCATACCACGGCTGAGGTGGTCCTTGTTGGTACATCATCGGATCATTGAAACTCATACCCGGTCGAATACCGTGAGCCTGCTAACATACATGCAAAGATCAATTTAATTCTTTAGTAAAAAAAATTTTATAAGGAAAATTAAAGTATTATAGAATGAGATTTGTACAGTTTAAATTTCTTCCCGAAAAATTCTAAAGTAGAATTCTTGTCAGGAATTTTAGAATTTCTAAAATAATAAGTATATACATTGAGGATTATAATTTAAACAAAAAAGAACAAAAACATGCTAAAATCAGGTGAATAACTAAAGAAAAAAGCAGAATTAAACAATATTCATTTTATGATGAAAATGTTTTGATGAAATGCTTTCTGATGAGATGTTTCTAACGATTGAATTTCAACTCTTTTTTTTCCCAGCAATTAATCAGAGCTTGATGTTTTCTTACAAATTTTCTTAATTAGTTGGATTAGAATAAAGTTTCTGTTCCTTCCTCGGTCAAATATTAATTTGTAAACTATAATATGAATATTTTTTCACTTCACTTTCACAAGCATTTAAAAGTGCATCTTTGAATAAAGAATTATAGTTTTATAATAACCATTCTCAAAGTTCATAACAATTCTTTTTTGAAAACTATAATTCAGCATACTTGGTAAAGTGGTAATTACAAAATACCTTGTATACTATCAATGTTATATATTAATCAACAAACAATCATAACAAAATACCTTGTACAAGCCATAATTTAAACTCATGTTTAGTTGTCTAGATTGTCGGAAGTTAAACCTGTAGTTTTCATCTATGCATAACTATAAGTATAATTCATACTTTTATATACGGGGTTACTAACGTCGTAAATTTTTTCAGATAATTTTTTAGAATCAAACTTAAAAGTACTTAAAAATATGTTATGAATCAGTATTTATATTGGCTTAAGGTAGAAAAAAAATTAAATGCAGATAGAATTTCCATTTTTTTTCACTACGCATGATTTGAATTGAAAATTTTGAGAAAAAAATATTAGCCATGTTTTTATGGTTTAATACTGTTTCCTGACATCAGAATTTATAAATGGTATTTTTTAATAAATGACATTTTTCTTCATTTAATTTTTGTAGAATGAAAAAAGATTTTTTAATCATAAATCATGCATAATGCCTCCATGATTTTTTTTAAAAGTTTCACCCGTAATTTTTTTTGTAAAAAAAAACATTTCGCAAATTTTTAATAAATTTATGAAGTTTTAAACAATTTTAAAAAAAGGAAAGTCATAACATCATTGACAATTCCAAACTTTATTCCAAAATTTTTAAACATGGAAGATGTCAATATTTGAGGAATAATAACAGATGGATGTAACAACTTTAGAAACAATTCATTCATGGAGAGTAAAAAAAAATCAAAAAGCCATGAAAAATATTTTTTATAAGACATTCGGAAGAAGGATGATGGTCCATGAATACATAAATTATTACTATGGTCCTATTACTTCAAATGTTTGTTTAGTTCAAAAAACATGAATGAAATTTTAGACCAATTTTTCTTTTTTAAAGAAAAAAGAAGAGAAAATTTTTCATGTAACAAAGGAGACAGTGGAAAAACTTAAAGCTTTCAAAAGTGCTCCAAAGAAAAATAATCAAACACCTGGTAGAAATTAATTGTATATAGAAAAATAGACAAGTCCACATATAAGTAAAGGAAATATTATTAAAAAAGAATTTATTTTCTAAAGAAAATATTTCAAAACAATCTTAAAAGAAAATTCAACCACAATGAAAGAATTTTTTATTTTATTTTATAAAGAAAAGATTTCAAAACAATCTTAAAGGAAAATTCAGCCACAATGAAAGAAAAAAAAATTTTTTTTGAATAATTAAAACTTGGATTGCCAGATTTCTAAAAAATATGTATAAAAGAACTATATAAATAAAATTAGGAATAGATAAGACTCATCTACGAGCAGCAGTATAACAAAACATTGAAAGTTTATGGACAAAATGAGAAGACAAAAAAGTTGATAAAGAATAAGAAAATTTTGAAAGAACGAAATAGTTTCAACTTTATCTAATTTAAAATTTTATCAGTGAGGTATGAAATAAATCAATAGACACTTAAACCAATCAAATGATTTTGAAATACTATGTACAAAGTACTAATTTGATAAAAAAAAGTTTTAAAATTTTCAAGAGCTCATCGAATTTGCTGATTATCTGAGTTAAAAATTTGACACAATCCAAATTTTTCCGAATTTCACTTGAATAGACAGCATTAAAATAAAGACAAGATTTCAACATTTTAAAACCAAAGTAAAAATTACAAAGAAAAAAATCAAATTTGTTATTTTTACATTAAACTGGGTTAAGAATTCATTAAGAATAAAATTTCCTTACAACCTTTATTTTGTATTAAGTTCTACCTAAATAAACTGCAAATTTCAAAATTGAAGTTAATAGTCTTTGTTTTTATTTCATTGTGTTAAGAAATTAACAGAAACTGGGAGGCCTCAACCCAAACTCTTTCTCCTTGCCAATCATCTCAACTGTAAAAACTATTTTGTCAACTGTCCAAAACTCTCTTTTGCCCAATGTTAGATTTTGTACAATAATTCTCATTTAAGCAATATTAAAAAATTAGCAATAAACCAATAATTAAAAAAAATTAAGTTATTCAAAATTATTATGAACTTCAAGTACAAAATTTTATAATATTATATGAGTTTGGGCAATTTATCTCTTATATAATTATACATTTTAAAATTTATCATTATAACCATATAACTACAAAAAATTTAGTAAATTGAATTAATATTCAACAAACTTCGAAATTAAATATCAGTAAAAGTATAGTTAGATATATTTTTTATATACAATAAGAGCACAATGATAAACATTTGGAGTTATAATTATTTTAAAATTTACAGAGCCTTCGCTTAAAATAGAAGTGTTAGTAAGCAAGGTCAAAAATAGTATCCTTAGAAATGAATAATAGTAGCCTAAAGTGTATCCTCTGAGTTTTATCAGCACATAAGTTATAAATCATAAGAAGTAGAGATAATATACAACAGGACTAATTCTCAGTCAGGTTTGCAAGAATGCCCTTTTAAAAATTTTCTGATAAATATGCACTTTAATCCATATTACGAATCACTCATAAAAAACTAATAATGCAATGTTATTATAACATGTGATTTTGAATTAGAGCTATTGCTCTTTGGCCATTTCCATGTAGTTTTCTGAAGTCCAATCAGTTCGATTAGGTGTGATTTGATAGTTTGGCACACACAATAAACTCTTAAACATTTTTATAAAATTGCTCATAGTATAAGAACTCTCAGATTTACTCTCTTTGTCTAAATCTCAATGAATTAAATACTGATGACATCAGTCAGCAACTAACAGTATGCAAGCATGACAACAAGCTTTTTCAGAGAGGCCACAAGGTGCACTGAATGTGTGTACACCCAAATACTTAATTTTCACCTCATACAAAACACTAAATTCTTAGCAAGGGGGAAAATCACTTCTTTAGCTCTTTTGTTGCTGTTGAAACAATAGTAGCCATATTATATCCGTAGTTGAACAGCCGACCCCATTTTTGGGTTTACAAAATCTAATGTTCAACTTAGCCTTGAAATTTTGAGCCCAATACAGAAGACAGGGAACTCCTGGATCAAGTATTGGAAGAAATTTGCCTTCATAAAGGAATTTTTGATGGAACTACCCCGCATTTGCGTTACATGGAAAGGAAAATCACGAGAACCTCTCACGGTCAGCCTAACGGCAAGGGGATTCTAACCCAAGATTTTTCTACCACTGAGGATGGTTTACGTCAGCAATGTGATTGGTGCAAGCCGGATGCGGAATTCGTATCGACCAGCCACGGTTGGGATTCGAACCCGGTTCAACTCATTGGAAGGCGAACGCTCTATCCCCATGAGTCATATCCCCTTAATTTTAGAAGCAAATAGTCATGAGTGGTGGTCCTGGAATTAGTCATTCAGAAACTATAATAATTTTCCAAGCATATTTTGATTGTAAATCTCATATATCTTTTACAAAACCTGTTCAGAATGGTTCAAAAACCTTGTATTTATAGAATTTAAAACTGTCAATTCTAATTGACAGCTAAAGTAGAAGCAAACAAATCAAAATTTAAACAGGAAAGAAGCTCCAAAAGGGGGGCCATCATAAAATCAAGAGTATAATATTTTTATGTTTTCATTACCTCTCTTTTCTTCCCTTTAGCAAATTCTTTATCAACCTGAAATGAATCTCAATGATTTAAGCTATTCTCAATGATTTATTAAAAGAGTAGTTTCAGCACATCTTAAAATAAATTAGTTATTTTTAATTTACAAAAATAAATCCATTGCAAGTTCTTGCCACAAGTCTACAAAATAATAAATTGATACGCCAATTTAAAAATTAGTTATAAAATTGCTATTGGTATAATTTCCAGTAGTGTACCTTGTTTTACAATTCAATATCATTCAAAAATATCCGCATTATTTAAAGACTAAAAAATTTATAGTCTTTGAATAATGAGGGTCATTAGCTGCTTGTAATTTTTTGAATTTTGATAATATTAAAATTAGACTTTTTTTCTTAAATCTTCTAATACAATTAACGAACTAAGTTTAATTTTTTCATGAATGAAACAAGAAAAACTACTGCTACAAATACTTATTTATAACTAGCACTTCATACGAGCAGTTTTTTTAAACATAATTTAAATTTTCAATCATAAAATAATTTGACACTTAAACGAACTTATTTAAATATAAGTGAATTTTTTTTAATGTATACTAGGTGAATATGTATACCAGATTTTAATGAACAAAATAGGTAAAGATGTGTACACTATTACTAAAACACTATGAAAATCTTTTCAGTTAAATAGACACAATGTTAACTAGAAATGGATTTATAAGCTTGTAGAAAAATAATTAGTATTAAGATGCGCAGAAACACATATTTTTTGTCAACAGCCTGTAGATACACTTCTTATTTGCTCAAACCCAACAATAGTACCATTCAATAGCAAAACTTTGAAAAAGAATTGGAAAGTAAGTTCTGAGAAAGTATTCAAAAGTAAATAGTAGAAAACATTAAATACACAGTGGAGGTCAAAGAGACGACTTTCAGAATGGACATTTGAACATTGAGTTTGTTAATTTTTAAACCCATATCTACGAACAAATAAAATTACAAAAGATTACAATTTATTAAGAATATATCTGAAATGCTTATTTAACTATTTACATGTGAAAGTTTGCTAATAATAATTTTAATAGAAATGTAGATATCTAACTATATATAAAAATCTAATGATGGTGTAGCAGTTTTCCATTGTTGACAATGCATTTTTATTGACAGGAAAATCACATGGTAGGAATTATGAGTTTAAGAGGATTGTTGTTATTGTTAATATCATTAGAATAATGTAATTCTAGGTTACATTTTAAGATAAAGCTATATAAATCGGTGTCTGATCTTATTAACCATTTTACTATTACTTTTTGCTGCTAACTACAATATTAATATGAATTATGTTTAAAGAAATTTGTTTAATGATTTAGAACTTAACTTTTAGTTTCATGCACAAAGTGATGAAACCAAACATTGTAATATTAAATTACAGAAGTAAACTCACAAAATTTGTCACAATAATATACTTTTAACTATAAATGTTATACATACAGTTACATTTTTGAAAAGTGACCAATGTGTTAATCTATATTTTTTAATCCCAGTCACAAATGAAAAATATACAACTTTAGGGGTCAGAAATTAATAATAAGGGAAGAATAAATAAAAACTTTATTAGAATCAGTCAAATTAGTAGTGAGAAAAGAAAGATAAAACTGAAAACTAGTTAAATAGCCTTTGTAACTTTGTAACTAAAAAGGTTTCTAATAATCATTTATCAATGACTCTTTCTGCTGGCAAGCAAAGAGGTACAATATTTTTATCCTGGTATTCCTTAGTACTGATAAATCAGATTTTGATAGAAAGAATTTAAACAAAAACATATATTAAGAAAGGTGATAATTATGGAACACGTTGTATAGTAAATTTTGCATTTAAAAATAAATTACTATTTGCACAGATCAAGCGAAATCATCACACTCATAATTAGTCTCACTCAAAGTGATATAAATCCTGTTTAAAGCAATTAAGATAACCTGGAAGATATACTGTTTGAAATCACAGATTTCAAAACTGTCAATGCAAGTCTTGGGTTATTTGGATGCAAGATTATGAAATGAATGTTAGGAGTTCAGCAGTTTGTACTACCAAGCAGCTGGAAAATTGAGATAAAAACAGCAAGAGAAATCATTGGTAATCTTCAGAAATGGAAGTGAATTTAGAATGCCTCAAATCCACTATGTTGATAATCTATTTATCAGCAGTGAGAAAATTTAAGATGAAAATGGCATATTAAATTTTTTTTTTTTAATTAGATGCTATGAAGATGAAAGCTGATGAGGATTTATTTAGTACAGGTTAAAATATAATAACACTTAATTTTTTTTTAAAATTCAAATTTGTAAGAGATTAAATAAACTTTTTTTTTCCAAAATGTATAAGGATAATATATAAGGATAAGGTTAGCTTAGAAAATACATAAATATCAACAACTGCTTCGATAGGAAACTTCTATAATTCTTTGTATTGTTAGCCAGAGCTTACAAAGGCTTAGAAAAATAATAATAATAAATAAATAAAAGTACAAAACTTTTTTAACGTTTTAAATTCATGAAAAAAAGCAGAAAAGAAAAATCCCCCACATTAGTCTCTAATACGATAAGAGTGAAAAAGAAATATTTTATTCATGAAATGAAATGTAATTATTTTCATTGCATACATACTTTTTTGGGACAAACATAAAAATTAAAATGGGCAATGAATTGTAATTATGTAAGAATTTTGAATTATTAAAATTAGCTCAAAATTTATAGAGTAACACAAAATTAATGAAAAAAAAACTTCATCACAATTTTTTTGGATAGTAAAAATAGATATTTGCTTTATGAGTTCAAATGTAATCTATTAATTAAAATAAGATAATTTTTAATGGTAAACAAAAAAACAAAAATTGACAAAATTAATCATAAATTTTGGAAATGTAGGAAGCAAAATTTCTCATATTGTTCGCAAATTGAATTATTTTTGCAGGTACAAACAAATTTTTAATCGAAATAACCATGCCAAGAATTTCATTTACAAGATTTTAATACAGCTGCAATGACAGATAACATTTTTTAAGCTTTCATAATTAGGATAAGAGGAGTAGAAATTAGGAAAATTTAGTCCCTGGTCTAAAGGATCAGTAACTAAAAGATATTACTAGTTCACACACATTTTGAATGGTCTATTTTAATCAAATATTTCACTGGCCTGTTGCATTAATCAAAGCAGTAACTGAAAAGAAAAAGGCTGCCAAGTTTGAAAAGAAGCTCCCTGAATCATCCATTGACAAAAAAGTAGACTTGGCATAGATAATAAGATGCATCCATAAAATTTGAAAGAACTTATGGTACCTATTATAAGATACCGGCTATAATTGCAAAATCACAAGTCTGATAAGATGAACAGCGCATAATAGTAAGTAGAAACAATGCAAAAAGGTGAATAATTTCTTTAAATAGATTATTAATATAATTACAAAAATAGATATCTACAGTATATTCTACTTTAACTTTACATAACCACATTTTTATATATATGTTCAGATGAAAAATGTCAGCTTGCTCGTAACTTTCGGAATCTATGTACAATATTCAAACAAAATATTAATATTAAATTCAATGTATTTGTTAAAGCTGAGCAAGAAAACTGAAATCAATATCGAAAATAATGTCTAAACACACATGATTAAGATAGTCAGTTTCCCGTTTTGCGCTGTTTATGATCCAAATCAGGAATGACACAAGCCAGAATGAAACAAACGAACCATCTGTTTTCTTAAAGACGAAAGCAAAACTCCAAAACTTAACCAATTTTTTTTATCATTCTTTTAATTAATTTAAAAAAAGCTCTTTCTTGACTTTCTACTGTTCATTCACCCATCCTCTTTCAACATGTCCGTCTCTCTCTCCTACATCATTAACAGAAAATGAAACAATTCATCTTCGTTTCTTTGAGAAAGAGAACAAACTACAACCCCTCTTACAAAACAAGTTTTTCCTTATGCCACTTGAATAATTCCTAAATGCAAGCAAAGTTCTTTCCTTTCCCGATCTTCTTTGTCCCCCTATCTCTTATATACATCATTAACCAAACAGAAACGAACTATCACTACTTCCAGAAAACAAAACACGTCCTCACACTAAACTGGTTTTATCCTCATCTGCCTGAATAATTTTACAGTGTTGGTAAGCGTGTTCAGATAATGCTCGCGAGTCGCCCACGTGGGGCTAGGCTACCGAAAATGTCATTCTTCATCTATCAGGAGGTACTCCAAAATAGAATGGAGTTAACGTGTCTTATAAACTAGTGAACTGGAATTTAATAGTTTTAGTGGTAGCTACGCTATGGTACTCTCCCAGCAGAATTTTATCTGTGATAGAATTGGATGAATAAATATCATTAGCTAATACAAAGCTGTTTTGAGAGAGGCTGGGAGTAAGATCACTGAATTAAGATGACGGTTGTATGTGTGGTTGCTCTTATGTTGCTATTAACAGCCAAGCGTGTAAAGGTTGTTTGGTTGGGTTTTGTTTACTTGGTTATGCTGTGTCTTATCGAGACTGAGTAGCAACAGCGTGAGGAGGACAATGCCGCAGCCAAAAATTGCAAGTGTTCACCGTGTTCCAGCCATCACACTAATCGTGTTCATATCGATGTCAACGTTTTTGTCGAAGTAGGCGTGTTCGAGTCTCGTCAGAAACTCATTAATGTTGGTCGAGACAAGCCTGTTCAGATCACGTGAGTCACCCATGGCTAACAACAATGTCAACCTTTATCATCCAGGAGTGTGTGGTGCTTGCTACTCTCAAAATTCTTACTGCCAGCTTGGCCTGTTAAGGTTCTCAGGGAAAAGCAAAAATGTGATAAGTATTCTCCGTCAAATGAAGAACTGCCACTTACATTTTCTATCTCTTCGTTAGCTAGCTCGACCTAGGACGACCGATAATGTTTAAGTTTGTTGATGTTATACTAATGTTATATTTGTTAAAGCTTTACTAATTTTATGAATAAAATGTTCAAAGAGAAATTAGCATTTCATATTTTCTTCAATTCTAAGAAAGCAAATCTCTTCTTTACTTTCATTCTCCCATCCTCCTTGCTTCCGACTCTCTTTTACCATTTTGTCTTCATTGTGCAGCCAGGCAACTTTTCAATTTTATCTTGACACAGTTGTAATATAAAAATACCTGATTACAAAAATGGCGAGTGAAAGGGTATTGATCGATTGACCAATTTTCTTAAAAATCGCAAGGTGAATGGCATTTGATTGAGATGAGCAGTATAACATGGTACAAATTCAGAAAATTGCTAAGATACTTGTGAGGGATTACTTACAACAGATAATAATGCTGAGGTGTGTAGTAATTGAGGATAAATCGTAAATATCAAAAGAATATTGGGAGCTAAGGGAGAAGAAGAAAATAGTGAATCAAAAGAATTTCAGAAAAACCTCAAACGAAATTCAAATGAAGAAGCAATAAAGCAGTGCAGTAAGAATGTATACATCATGAATAAGTGCTATAAGAATGTATACATCGTGAATAGCAAATTCATACATCATGAATAGTATAGTATAGAATGAATACACCAGGTGTATTGTCAGAATAAGAAGATAATGAATCAAAAGAATTTCAGCAAAACCTAAATTCAAATAAAGGAGCAACAAAAGTGGTATTGTCTGAAGAAAATACAGGCCTTGTAATTTTGAAAAATGGTAACACGTTTGGTATTTTAAATAAAATGTTAACACTCCAAATTTATGATATCTCAAAATTTTTAGAGTCACTTTTCATGTTCACGAAATGGATGTTTATCCAGGGTGCATAGTATAATTATTCAACAAAAAATAAACACCTTTTAAGCACTTTTCAAGCACTTAAATAATATTTTTAAGCACTTTACAAAAAAATCACAATTAGGTAGGATTGGAAAGTTTTTGACAATTGAAGGTTTTATCTGGTTTTAACCGTCATGTCAAAAAAGAAAAAAAAAAACTTTTGGCATTGTTCTTGACAATTGTCAAAAATTTGTAATCATGTAAATACGTACGTTTAAATACACTACAGACTGACGATACGCCGAAATAGGTTGAATTAATTGTGAAAACATTGAATAGAACAATGTCTTTTTGCATAATTTGTAGCAAAAATCAACATGGTAAAGGAAAAATCTCATTTTGGAAAAGGGAAAATTAAGCACTTTTTAAAAAACACCCAATGAAAAAAGCACCTTTAAGGGCTTTTAAAAAACGAAAATCGAAAATAAGCACCTTTAAGCATTTTTTAAAAACGCTACGCACCCTGTTATCTAAAACTAGAAAAACCAAGAAAAAGTAAACTTTGGATGAGAGGGGGTAAAAAGAGTTCGGACAATCCAGATTCACCTTAATAAAATCCCTTGTGAAAGTATATAATTAAAAACCTAAATAAAAAAATGTTTTACTAAACCAAACCATTTAATAAAACTAATGAAAATTTTTTAGCACTACAAGAGACACCTTCTTCAAACACAAAATATAATAATACTGCTGAAAACTTACATACATAAATAAAGACGAAAAAAGTAAGACAAAAAATGCAAGAATATGGGTAACAGAGTTGAGCAGGTAACTTCATCCAGTGAGATAACAAATATAAAAAGAAATAGATGAACCAAACTTCTTCTAAAAACAGTGATGTTTAAAAAACAGATATTTTATTTAAGCTAATATTTTTTATTTTACTCACATATTTGAAGTTGATTCTAAATTTCTTTTTACTAAATCTTAAAAAATTTAACACCTTTTCAAATTAAAACAATATTACTTTGTTTCCACTTAACCATAAAAATCTACTAACTACATTAAGCACTTATCACTAAAGTACCTAGTAAAACAACTAATTAAGCACCACGAACACGAATTACAGTTTATCGATGTCTTAACAGCTCGCACAAACAGATTATTAAATAAACTTTCACAACCACAACTTGTATAAAACATCTCATAATGTACATTACCAAATAATAGAAAGGTTTTCTAATGTTCGATAAAAGAATTAGATGATGTATGAGATGTATGGAAAAAAGGTTAAATGCCTTTCTTATATAGTTAGATGCATAATATAAAAATACCGTACAATGACAACAATGTATCAACGGGTTCATAAATTTTAAAATAAGTAAAAGCATATTTCAGAAGTTAATAAAATAATGACAAATGAGATGATAGTACTTTTTATGAAAGTACTCATGCAGCTAATTGCAAAAGATGTAAAAGCATGTTATTTTTATAAAGAAAAATAAATTGCCAAATAAACAAAATAGATATTAAAAAAAACATGCTATGTGACAGGAAAATGTAAACAAAAAAAAAAGCATAGCATATTTTTGAAATATTTATAGCATTATCATGCATGGGGTGAGCAAATAATTATAATGCAGGTACAGGCTGTTCACAAATAAAAGAATATAGAAAGCAAAAAACAAAATTTATTTTCAAAAAAATCCATGCTTATTTTATTAAAAAAATGCTAAGAAACAAATACAATGTTTAAAAAGCAATAATTCATGCTTGAGTTTTCCTAACAAAAATAGGATTAAACAAAAATATATTTCAAATTTATTATGTCAAAACAGTTGTGTTACAATACAGGGTATTTTAAAGTAGATTGACAGATTTCAAAAATTTATAGCAAGACAGAAAGTTAAAAAAAAGGAAGAAAAAAAAACATGTCTTGCAGCAAATTCAAGCGACATTTTCTTTATCATTAATTCTTGGTTTTAGTTTAAAAAAATTTCCAACAAACTGCGCTGTAAGTCCCTTCCATTTTGATGCATAAAAATTTTGCTTTCCTATTACAACGTGTGACTAAGGCAGAGGGTGGACGTTTGGAAAATATAATGTTAATTTTATTCATTAAAAGATTGTGTTGTGATTTCAAGTCAGGTCTTATTCTTAATTTATGGAAAAAAATTCCCTCAGTTTATCTCAACCATCCGTAGTTAATACTATATTTTGATATACCCACATACTATCTGGTCGTATTGTACTATATTTTGATATGCGCAACTATCTGGTTGTTTTATACTATATCTTGATATACCCACATACTATCTGGTTGTATTATACTATATTTTGATAGACCCACATATTATCTGGTTGTATTATACTATATTTTGATATGCCCACATGCTATCTGGTTGTATTATACTATATTTTGATATACCCACATACTATCTGGTCGTATTGTACTATATTTTGATATGCCCTATCTGGTTGTTTTATACAATATTTTGATATACCCACATACTATCTGGTTAGATTATATATTTAGATATGCCTGCATACTATCTAGCTNATACTATATTTTGATATACCCACATACTATCTGGTTGTATTATACTATATTTTGATATGCCCAACTATCTGGTTGTTTTATACAATATTTTGATATACCCACATACTATCTGGTTAGATTATATATTTAGATATGCCTGCATACTATCTAGCTGGTAATCATATTGTTGATAACCACATAATCATATTGTCGCAGTATACTATAGTTTGATATCCCTAACTAATACCTGGTCTTAATATATAATAAGATATACCCACACATTAATAGACCTAAAAACCAAATCCTTGAGATTATTAAGACTATTATCAATAACCTAAAAACCTGGAAAATAAATTTTTTTACCTTGCAGTTCTAACAATGAATCTAAATACAGTAAAATCCCAATTATCCGACAGTCAATAATCATACCACACTTTAGTTAACCGACACCCCTTTCATTATTACAGTTAGTGTTACTCAATTACTGCTGTGAGGAATAATCCAACCAGCATTTAGCAGATAAAACAGAACAATTAAATAGAAAACAAAAATGCTTCTTACTTTAAATTTTATTATAGCCACTACTTATTTCGAGTAATTTTATTCATAGTTTAACGTTGATGCACTAAAATATTGATTCAGAATAATCCCCTGACAGTCCAACAGCGACAATTTCTGACATACCTATGTTCCCGAGGGTGTCAGTTAATCGGTGTTCTACTCTACTCATCAAATAATAAATGCATCTCAAAAAATTATACCAAAGTCATAGTAAATAAATTTCTACAAAATTATAATAAAAGCTTTTGTCAAACCAAAAATCATGTGTAGAAAAATGACCTCATGGCACATGTGTGTTGAAAAATTAACTATTTTTGTGAAAAAAGGATTAGGTAGAAGATGATTTTTTTTAATATAACAATTTCTTTAAATAGAATTTTTTAAAAAAAGTCTCGAAAATCTCTTTTTTCTCGATTTTTATTTTCTTTTAACAGCTTCTTAGCAAACATTTTCTTTTCCCCGGTTTAAAGCTACCTTCAAATTCCCAGAATTTGTTCCATTTCTGCCGAGCCCTGGAAGTTGTTTTTGGTTTACAAGTTTATTAATTTGCCCTGCAACACTTTTGAATTTAAAAAAAGCTATAGAATAATAAAATTTATGCTTAGTCACATGAATTTACTGAAAGAATTGTTTTATAACCTCAACCGCTTTCTGTTATAAATTTTTAAATTTCATCAGTCTCATTTGATATATACCCAGTTTAGGATATCAGTTCTCTATACTTATGCAATTTAAAATAATTTGCAGGGTTATTTTAATAAATAATTTGAAGGGACTCTTCAATTTTAAACAGAATCTGTTTAGACATAGCTTAATGCAGTTAAAATATGCAACTTACAAGGGAAAAGAAATTTAAAGTATTTTATTGTGCGGCCAATGCTTCGTGATAATTTGCACAAGATTTAAACAAATATACCTACCAAAGTAGATTAAATAAACAGCTTCTTTAATATAACAATACTTAAGAGATAATATGAATTCAGTTTTACACTTACTTGTCCATTGACCATCTTTGCTGCTCTCCTCCTACGCTGTTGCTGTTTTGGCTTTTTAGCATTGCCTCTGGGTGACTGTTCCAAAGGAGTATCTCTACCTCTTTTAATGTCTTCAATCTGTTGCCACACAAATAAAGAGGTCAATACATCATAAAAGCATAAATGTTACTAAGAGAGACATTAAAATTTCACATGCATAAAGTTGTTACTCATCTCCCTGGTGTAAGAAAGCCTACACCAGGTCCAAAAGATCCCTTCACCTGAGAATAAAAAAATCTTTTCCAGCACAATCAACAGCTGCCTCCAGGAGGCTCCTAAACAATTAAGAAGGTCGGCAGGATTAGCGGGAAGGGAACAGGAGCAAGGAGAAAAAAATCTTTTCCCCCATCCTGAAATTTCATGCATTTCAAGTGACCACTTCTGAATCTTGCTACGGCCGACTGTAGAGTCCTACGGCCGCTGCACAACAGAGACAGGCCCAGACCCTTAGCAGCGCACCAGTTATGAACTAGTGGGAAACGCCAAGTTGAAATTAAATTACTTTTGTAGAGCGAGTGGATTTCCGAAGGAGTTAGCTCAACAGAGTTGGCGATTGGAAGATCACAACTATGTCCATACTGATTTCATCAGGCCTAGCTCGTAGATAAAAACTAGAACATCCTGGTCATGTTCATGATATACTTTCAGTCAATTTTTTAGTTATGGGATAGCACCTTTACTGTCAGTCAAAATCCAAATACTACTATAATCAGTAATAAGGGGAAACTCAAGAGCCCTCCCAATAGCAATAATTTCTGACCTAAAAACTGCGCAAAAATCAGGGTTACGGATACTAAATTTAATTTCCTCCTCAGAGTTGCTGATAAAAACACCACTCCCAGCTTTACTGCCTTCAAATTTGCTGCCATCTGAGAAGCATATAGTGATAAAAGGAAGCATCATATGTTTAAAAAAAATGCTATTTTTTATTAAAAAATGGTACAGTGAGGAAAAATACAACTATTCCTTTTTAGTGTTTTTCCCTTCCTTTTCTCTCGTTAGGTTTCTGTTTCATTTTTTTCAAAGCTTATTATGAGATGTTTATACATCTCAAAATAAGCTTTGAAGATCTATATTAATACTTATTAACAGTCCAGACACACTGTTAATAAGTCTTTTTCATTATGTTTAGGTATTGTATTCAATGTCTAAACATTATGTCTTTCCTCTGTGCTCCTCATTAAATCTCTACACAAAATTAAAACACCCCCCTTTAATTTGAGCATCAGTTTTTTTCTAAATATAGCTTTTTTTAACTACAAAAAAATTCACAAAATTTACTAATGTTATTTTGGTATCACTTACATTTTAAACAATGCAGGAAACTAAATTACTTATTCAGATATAGAATATACTCTTAGAGAGATGGAATCGTAATCAATTTTTTACCATTTTCATTTGAACTTAAATTGGTTTAAACTCTTTATAAGTTTTAGCATTTTTACTCTAGTCTCTAAGTCAGATTGATAGATCAATGCCAAACATATTATACAACGTTAATTAGGTTCAGTATATAAATCAAAATAATACAGGGATAGAATTCTCTGACTTTTACAGGTCTTCCAGAAAAACTTGAAATAAATATTAAAAAAAAGGAAAACTGAAAATATTAAAACATTTTCTTATATTATTAGGATAAATAAAAAGGCAAAGACCATTAAATCAAAACTATATTAATAAGAACAGAAATGTAATAGCTGAGATGATGAAAAGGATTCATGTGATTTTCACACACTGAGTACCAGTATGTATCAAGCAATCAATGGTAAAGGGATGATGACCAAGAAGCTGTCAGTCAATTTATTCCCTTTCTGAAAGTGACATGCAATCAAGAAATTATCATAATTTATCTGTTAATAACCATTAAAACCTTGCTGTGGCACAAGTAGCACAGGGAAGTCATTTAAAAATTGTCTTGACAAATTTGAAAAGAAAAAAAAAAATTCTCCAGCCATGGGTGAATTTGTGAGAGAAAAAGCAACCAGTTAAGTTTGGAGTTGGCAGTTAAAGAAGGATTAGGGAGGTAAACACTTACAAGAATTTGTGGCTGCTTTTCAGGAGGTGGCTCTAACTCTTCAGCGGGTAGTGGCGGAGGCTCTAAGTAATAGCTGCTTGGCTTTTTCAGTGAATGAGTGTGCCACAACAATAGACGATGGCTCTCTTCGTGGCGCAGAGGTTTCCTCTCCACTTTTACAGCCCAAAACCACGACCAAGGAGTGGGATTTTTATGACCCTCCAAAAAATCCCACGGACTTACTCTCTGCTTGGCCGAAACTTGCAAGCCCTAAGCAAAATTATTAACATTCGTCATTAAAAAAAATAGAGTAAAGCAATAAAGGCAGAACAATTCAGCGTAGAAACAATATATTATAGCAGCAGCAAGGTCGATGCACATGAAACAAAGGTTAGAAATATAGGAACACTATACGAATGTCTTTTCTAGAAATAAAACAATCCAAACAAGTTTTTTTGGAGCACTAGCTTTCATTTGTTTTGGAGTAGTTATTTCTATACTTTTAGATTAATAAGTTAACATTACTTGGAATTATAATTAAAATCTAAGCTTATTTTAAATAAAAAGAAGCAGTTATAAATGCAAACTTTACTAAAAACCCAATTTATGAATTTTGTAACAAAAATGAATTCTGTAAAAAGGGAGGAAAATATTTTTGATGAAGCTTTTTGATCTTAAAGTATATTCGGAGCAGCAAATAAATTTTTTTTTATCACCTGTTTCTTAGCATAAATGAATAATTTCATTTGATGACAATAATCACACATATTTTTATTAAAACTTTCGTGATTTTTAAAACAAGATATAAAGCACCTATTAGCCACTTTTTTTCCGCATAATCTTTTATTGTCAGTTTGCGTTCCTGAACAAAACATAAATATATTTCTTTCAATTAAATTGAATAATCCCTGTTTCAAAAATCTGCTAACTATTGTTCAGCTGAAACCAGGAAAAAAGTGATTATAGACAATATTAAAAAGCATCAGGTTGACTGCTAAAATTTTCTTATATCAGTTTTAAAAAAAGTTAATTTTTAACTGGTTTTTTTTGTATTTGAAAAAGAGATAAAATTTGAAATTCAAATCAATTGAAGTTAAAATTTTTGCCTCAATGGTTTGATTACAAACATTGAGTTAAGATAAATTATATTAATTCAAAAGGTACTAGCATAATTAATTATACATTGACAATTTAAAGGACGTGAACATGAAGTACACCAGATGAGCTAGCTGAAAATGAAAAGATTAATTACTTAGGTAATTCAGCTTGCTTTAATAAACGAATTTGGGACAAAACAGACCGATAAGTAACAAAATTCAGACATAGACAATTTTAGTTACCTCATAAAGAGATAACTTTCTTATTCAAATGTTAAAATAAACAATTCATACATTTTAAATAAAACATACTTTATTTTAATTGTGGCACACAAAAACCAGCTGGAGAAGTTGAGTGCGAAGGGGAAAATGTTAAGCAAGCATAATGAACTTAATCACATAACTTTTTAAAAAGAAAACATAATCCAAGAGAATTCTCCACAACATAAAATAGCTACAGTTGCTCCATACATTACAAATCTAATTTGGATCTGTCTTATATATGCAAGCATACATTTAATATCTAATAAAAAACATTAGCATAATGAGGGTGAAAAATATGTCATAAATACACTTACAATTAATATGTAAATTTATCTTTAAATTAATTTCAAATATTCAAAATAAAGTTAATAAAGAAATAAAAAGTCCAGAAAAGAAAGAAGAAACATCCTTTCTTTCAGAGCTTAAAAACCTAATCTTCCCTTTCTAAATCAATTTAGTCTTTCTCCCTTTTCCAGTGGTTTTTCAAACTTGTGATTTTCGATACTCGAACCTTGTTCCTTGAAATTTGTAGTCTTGCAAAATATAATAATGGTGCATGCGTGTACTAAATCCATCATAATTTAGAGTGAAGTAACCACACCCCATACAGTCCCAGGGCCAGTGAACTTTTCTTGAATCAACCAGGAACATTACAATAGAGAGTATTAAGAACCATTAATGGATGACTTGAAAAAGAGCAGCACCTAACCTTTACCACTGGAAACCTTTTACCGAAGATATAAACAGAGTGCGTAGCCAAATTATTCAACAAAAAATAAGCATATCATTGGATGTGGTAGGTATGATGTAATATTTTTAATTGAATAGGTTATTGCTGAAACAATTGATGCAAACAGCAAGCTGAATTTGCAGTTACAAAAAAAAAAAAAAAAAAAAAAAAAAAAAAAAAAAAAAAAAAAAACTGACAATTTTAATATTGTATTTAAAATTATAAGCACCTTTTAAGCACTTTTCAAGCACTCAAATAATATTTATAAGCACTTTAAAAAAATATCATAATTAGGTAGGGTTGGAAAGTTTTTGACAATTGAAGGTTTTATCTGGTTTTAAACATCATGTCAAAAAAAAACCTTTTGGCATTGTTTTTTACAATTGTTAAAATTTTTGAAATCATGTAAATCAAATGGCGTTTTCATACGCTACAGACTGACGATGCACCGAAATAGATTGGGGCTGAATTAATTGTGAAAACATTGAATAGAACATTGTGAACAGTGTATTTCTGCACAATTAGTAGCGGAAATCAACATGGTAAACGAAAAATCTCAATTTGGAAAAGGGAAAATTAAGCACTTCTCAAAAACACCCTATGAAAAAAGCACCTTTAAGAGTTTTTAAAAAATGAAAATAAGCACCTTTAAGCACTTTTTAAAAATGCTACGCACCCTGTATAAAGGCCGGGATAGCCTGGTCAGTAGGGCGCTGGGCCCATGTCCGAGAGTTTGAACCCCGTCGGCCGCAGACTCCCCGTGTAGTAAAGTGACTGATGCACATTAAATCTGTATTGGAGTGTACATTAAATCTGTACTGGAGTGTACATTAAATCTGTACTGGATTGGAGATAGATTGTTCTCTGATTCAGGTCAAAATTACGATCTNCTGGTTTTAACCATCATGTCAAAAAAAAACAAACCTTTTGGCATTGTTTTTGACAATTGTTAAAATTTTTGAAATCATGTAAATCAAATGGCGTTTTCATATGCTACAGACTGACGATGCGCCGAAATAGATTGGGGCTGAATTAATTGTGAAAACATTGAATAGAACAATGTGAACAGTGTCTTTCTGCACAATTAGTAGCGGAAATCAACATGGTAAACGAAAAATCTCAATTTGGAAAAGGGAAAATTAAGCACTTCTCAAAAACACCCTATGAAAAAAGCACCTTTAGGAGTTTTTAAAAAATGAAAATAAGCACCTTTAAGCACTTTTCAAAAATGCTAAGCACCCTGTATAAAGGTCGGGATAGCCTGGTCAGTAGGGCGCTGGGCCCATGTCCGAGAGTTTGAACCCCGCCGGCCGCAGACTCCCCGTGTAGTAAAGTGACTGATGCACGTTAAATCTGTCTAGTCGCAAAAGTTCATAACAAATCAATACCTTTGGGGGTGCTGGATTGGAAAGGAATTGTTCACTGATTCAGGTCAAAATTACGATCTGTGGTAGAATGAATGGATGTATGAATGGGTTCACCCTATAAACAGGTGTGACGAATGGTGTGGCAGAAGTCGAATTCTTGGCCATAGATGGCGACACTGGAAAACAAGAACAATCGCACTCCCTCTGCCTAAATAGGCCTACATCAACGACAACCCTGTATAAAGATACACACCACATCTACAGAGCAGCAGAGGTTAATTAGAACAATCAGAAAGTTTACATTAGAACATATTTTCAAAACAAAATGCTTTTTAAATTGTAAATGAATTCACACTAAGTGGATCGAGAGGAAGTAAAATGTCACACACCTGTTTCTTGTCGATAGAATCGAAGCCGGCAATTTTGTTTCCTTTGGTGTCGATCAAGCTCCCCATGGCTTCACATGTGATGACCTCACACTGCCACTTCATGATGGGCAGTAACTGCCGCACCATCTGTATACCTTTGCTGTTTTTATCAGCCACTTCCTTCTGCAAAGTGGTTAACTCATTGAGATCAAATGATAGATAGTAACTAGATTATTTTGTTATGGTTAATTAAAAAGATTGTCAGCATGATAAAACAATTATTTGTGATTAATAAATTGCTTTGTATGTAATTTAAAAGAACATTGATATTCATTATTAATGTACTCAGAACTTTTGTTGAACTCAGCAATCTTCTTGTTTTGTAGCACAAGAGTAATACAGCTTAAAATTTATTAAAGTTATAAAACTTAGTTAGAGAAAACTAGTTATTATTCTTTTTTAATCCAGTAAGTTGGTTTTTGTCAATAAAAAATTTACTTTAATAAGTGTATAAAGTAATATTGCATTCTCTTATAGGTGTAGTGCATTCTTTTATAAACGTATAAAAATGTTAATTGAATAATAAAATTTAAGCAATATTTCTGTTAATAATTATTCTACCTCATTGGTACAAATTCTGCTATATACAGTCAAACTAGCTTTTGGTAAGCACAAAGGGGCCACATATTTTCTCCTTATTAAGTGATTGTAAAGAATGAGTTCGCTAAAAAATGATACAAATAATGCAAACTTAAAAAAATTTTAAACAAAGTTTATTACTTATTTTTTACTGTACTAAAGAAGTTAATTAATTTACTTTGAACTGCCTGAATGTTTTTAGAATAAGATTTATGATATCTAAAACATTATTTTTCGCAACCCTGCTCTCGAAAAAAATGTTTGAAGTTTTTCTACATGCTCAAAATCTATTGTGCTTGTGAGAGACGGTTCAGCTATTGCTTTAGCTTCAATTTTAGCTAAAAAATATCCGTGTGAGCCTCAAAATATTGCTCGCCAAAACTGAGTTTTGCTCATGAAATGCAACCATCAACGCAATTTATTTTTATACCATGCATATTAATTGCATATTTTCAATAGCTATCACCTTGTATATAATCTTGAATAATATATAGATTCAAAATTTTTACAACAAAAAAATTTTTTTAAATTAATTTATAAAAGGAAAATTTTTTATCAACCCAAAATTTTTTTTAACTGACAACTGTAAATAAAATAGGATTCTTCCTTATATTTTGCATTTAAGACTCGAGCATTAATTGATAGCCCAACATACAACTTAGATAAACAATAAGACAAGATAAATATTTGATAAGAATCTTTCACCAACTTTCCCTGTTTAAGGGCAGTTTCTAAAAATTAGTTGAAACTTGGCCAAGANATAATGCAAACTTAAAAAATTTTAAACAAAGTTTATTACTTATATTTCACTGTACTAAAGAAGTTAATTAATTTACTTTGAACTGTCTGAATGTTTTTAGAATAAGATTTATGATATCTAACACATTATTCTTCGCAACCCTGCTCTCGAAAAAAATGTTTGAAGTTTTTCTATATACTCAAAATCTATTGTGTTTGTGAGAGACGGTTCAGCTATTGCTTTAGCTTCAATTTTAGCTAAAAAATATCCGCGTGAACCTCAAAATATTGCTCGCCAAAACTAAGTTTTGCTCATGAAATGCAACCATCAACGCAATTTATTTTTATACCATGCATATTCATTGCATATTTTCAATAGCTATCACCTTGTATATAATCTTGAATAATATATAGATTCAAAATTTTTACAACAAAAAAATATTTTTAGATTAATTTATAAAAAGAAAAATTTTTATCAACCCAAAATTTTTTTTAACTGACAACTGTAAATAAAATAGGATTCTTCCTTATATTTTGCATTTAAGACTCAAGCATTAATTGATAGCCCAACATACAACTTAGATAAACAATAAGACAAGATAAATATTTGATAGGAATCTTTCAACAACTTTCCCTGTTTAAGGGCAGTTTCTAAAAATTAGTTGAAACTTGGCCAAGAGTTGGACAGTCATTATAAAAGATTAAATGAGTTTACCTTAAGTTTTTTTAGAAGTTCTTGCTTTTTATTCTGCTTTTTACTCTCTTCTCCCTTGTCACTACTGAGAGACTCTGACACTTGTGTTGTGTGAATGAGAGCAGCTAACATGTCAAGGACAGTTGTAAACAGCTCACTGAAAAAGGCAAATAAAACATATTCTCTTAAAAAAGGTCTTTTTACAGCTCATTATTTAAATTACTTCAATTATAACCTCTCGTTAAGAGAGAACATCTTTGCTTGCAAATGAACTCAATTGTTAGGGACAAAGAGGGAAAATGTTAAATATACTATAAACCATCTTTATTTAATTTTCTCAAATAAATATATATTTACTCTAATTGGCAGAATCTCTTGAAACATGTAACATACTATGATACCCCTTAATCAGATAGGCAGAACGGGCATTATGGTATTCTTTTTTTTATGGAAAGATTTTATCAACATAAATAAGCAATCAACATATTCAGAAAGATGCATGCCTGTTTTTAGATTTTTACATTAGTATCATATTTGGCATGACAGTCCAGGGTTTGCCTAGGTTTTCTTCAAAATTTCACTGTACTGCCAGTATTTCATTTCTTTCACTCTAAAATTGCGCCATCATAGTTTTGAACTTTCTAGGAATGTTATTGAATGCTGTTTTAAGCCCTTCCCTTTTTTAGTGCCCAGTATATACTCATGTGTTTTATATACGTTAATCTTACAATTGTTAGAATAACATGAAATAAAAAATTTCGCTGTACTGTTTGTTTAAAGCCAATAATGAAAATTCTTTACATCTCATTTTTTAGGGCATTGCACTGTTAAATTATGCAAAACTTGCGAACAAAGTAGAAAAACATTGTGAAAACTTAAATAAAAAATGAAACCTAAATTTTCATGTGATGAGGCAATGGGGGGTTTTCTAGGGTATGCCAACAATATGATTTTGGTTTGAGATCTAGGGATTTCTAGTTATAATGAATTTTAGAAAGGTGATACGTGTAAGCAATATGAAAATATATCCTTTTCATTGGTAATAGAAAAAGCTCATCAAATAAAAATAAGGAATACATTGTTAATTCAGTTACTTTCTAAATTAAAACAGTTGACAATAAAGACCCTTGAACGCAAGAATATTTGAGTTTTATTTTTGGCCCATTTCACTAAGATGAATGATATCCTATGAATTGATGGTTTAAAAAACAATTCAATTGCAAACTAATTTTACAGAACCTGAATTTAGTGTAAATGTAAAGTGCTTGTAGTTTTTGAATTGAAGTTTACTTATTTTTTCAGGAATGACAACAATCTGCTATGCTTTTCTATAGTCACTGAGCTATTTTTCCATTATGAGAAATAAATTTTTTTATAATAAAATAGTCAGGAAAATTATACATTTAATAAGATTTAAACATTTAATATATTTTCAATTTTTTTTTTTTTTTTACATAAAGTGATGTTTTTTTTTAAAAACAATAAATTTTTTAAATATATTTCCTTTTCCTAATCAACAATCAGAGCTTATAAAATCAAAGGAATGACTGGTTCAATATTAGCTACCAAATAAATAAATTTTAAAATTATATAAAAAAGTTTTTAAAAAAATTCAAAATTAAATTTTTTTTTTAAAATCGGAAAATTATACTTTTCTATATATTTTAAAAGCTATATATTTTCTAGCTTTTCTATATATTCAAAATTATTCTAAACTGAAATCCATGGAAATTGCAGAAACGTCATAGAAGCTGCTATCCTTTAATTTAATTTCAAGTTTATACTACTGAAAATTTAATTTGAAATTCTATCAGCACACAAGCATTAGATAAAACATCTATTGGCCATCATGAAGGCTTCAATTTTGCGTACAGCTCTAGAGGTAAGATTAACAATGATTGCTCTAAAATGGGGGTCTACAATGTATTTTCAATAGGCTATTACTGGCATGCTGATAATATTTTAGTTTCTTGCTAATGCTTTAGATTGATAAATTACATTATTAATTTAAGTAAATAACAGAGTGGATAGAAAAAAAGAGAGGTAAGAAAACATACTAGTTGATTTGAGGATCGACAACACCATAGCTTATAAGCTGAACAAGAAGTGTAGCCCATGTCATTGTAAAGTCAGGGTTTCTTTGCACCATGTCAAACATACCACCAACCAAGCTTAGGCGTAGCTGCAGAGCTTCCTGCATTGCTTGTTTAGCTTTCAGCTCCTCTAAACCATGTTTGTCCTTAAAAAGGAATTAAACAAGCACTGGGATTATATTCCTAAAAAAACAAGTATCCTTCCAAAGTTTTTAAAAATTTTTTATTTTTCAAATTTTTTAAAATATTTTGAAAAGAATTCTTAGAAATAAGATTTTTTATGCAAATTTTGTAGAGAATATTGAAAACATTTTTTGTCAGTTGATTAAATTATTTAAATATAACAACTTTGTTCACAAATCATCATAATAATCTGTATTAACAAAATCAATTAACATGTTATTAAGTTTTAAAAAAAATTAACACATTTAGACAAAGTGAAATAAAGAAATATATAAGACTGCAATTTGTAAAGCAATATATTTGTATTCTGCAATCATATGTTTAAAAATTGTTTTACTAAAAAATTAATTCAGTCAAACAGAAGATTTCATGTTTAATACGTATATGCAACAATGTAAGTATTTTTATGAATTTTATTACAATAACAAAGTAACAATTCTAAATTGATCCACTCAAGATTTAGGAATTTACGACTGCTTGCCTTAAAAAAAACTTATAATAAAAAAATGCTTTCAAAATAATGAACATTTTTTGTAACAACAAGGCACAATCGGAGCATATATAAATTAAAATAATCCATATTTAGTGAAAAAAAATATTTTATAGGGACATCAGTGGATTTACTTTAACAACTTTTGAAATTTAATAAGAATAAATGCGTAGAAAAATATCAGCAAAATAAAGTAAGGCGAGCATATATATTTTCTTCAGTTCTTTTTTTTTTTGCATGGATATTTCAAAATTTTAGATTAATTTCGGAACACCACTTAGCATGAAACTCATTAGAGAACAATAGAATTGCGAACTTACATCTCGTCCTATATAATTATTGTAAGAAAGTTGGCTTTGCAGAGAGGTCAAGAGTGCCACTCTTTGTTCATCCTGTCCTTTCAGACACATCAATACCAAAGACAAGAATGGCTGATGACTTAATAAGGAAGAACTACAAATGAAACAGACATCAGATTTTTGACTAGATGCACAATTTATTTTACAGCAAAAAATAAATAAATAAATAAGAAGAAAAAAATACACACTAGGATTCTAGTGTGAACTTTTTATTCCATATAAAGGGAGGGAGAAAATTCCAAGAGAAGGGAGGAAGGTTTTCTGAATAAAAACAGAAGAAAAGAAAAACTGCATGAAAAAAAAAATTTACGTTCATAAAAGAAAAAAGTTTATAATCATACATTATTAATGTTTAAATAATGTATACATGATATAATTTAGATAATGTGTAAATCAGATTACCTCAACAAATAGTTAAATCTAATATAAATAGCTAAAAACACATATTTTGCAAGAAGAAATTATTAACAAGTGGCCATTTAAATAAAATATACGCATCTAAAAGGAAACTTGTTTATGAGTACAGCTAATGCTAATCTAACCAAAAATTTTGAATAAAAGTAAATCCCTTATAACAAGCAAAATATATTTTTTAAAGTACAGTACAGAACCCGTTATCCGGAAATCAGAAAACTGGAAAACCAAAAAACCGGAACTAAATTCGATAAATTTTCTCGCCATTTTAAAAAAAAAAAACTTTTCCTTGTAAGATTTTACGATTTTTCTTTCTTTTTTTAAAGATGCTTACCTTACCATCATTTTGGAAATAATCATTAGTATATTACTTCATTGTTTTTTCTTATTTTTAACATTTCCAATTTTTGTTTAGTTGGGTTTAACAATAAAAAAAACGGCTTTTTGTAGCCATTCAGAAAACCGGAAAAATCAGTTATCCGGAATAGCGATGGTCCCGACCGTTCCAGATAATTGGTTCCCTACTGTATTACATTTTTTAAAACAATTGCATTTTCTCTTAATATAAGGAAACCTCTCGAGAACGAACATTAATCGTTCCACAGTAAAATGGTTGTTGTTGAAGGTGGGTCATTTTTGAGGTTACCTGCATTGACCTCAAAATTGTTATTGAAGGTACAAGATTTTTCGCATACAATTTTATTTTTAGTCAGTGTCATTTTCTTGATGTGGAAAAGCCACTTTTGTGGGTCTCATGTAAAGACAGATCTATGAACTGAATCTAGTCTCTTTAAAAATGATCCCTACTGGTATAATTATGTGCAAATTTGCTAATCATCAATGATAAAGCTATTTTAAATATATAAACAATTATGTTTTTTGTTTAAGTTTGCATTTAATTTTACTTTACATCATAAAAGGTAGCTTTAAAAGATGAGAAGTTTGTTTGCGATTGGGTTTTCTAAAATAACTTTTTGTTTCGAATTTAACTTTCAGCTCTAAAAGTAAATCATTGATAGCATCGTCAAAACGAACTTTCTATTTCTAAATAAGATTCTCACACAAATATTTTGAACACATTTGAATCGACTTATTTGTTTTGATATTCTTTCATGTCTCCTTATTTGACTTTTTCTGCATTTGGTGCAGATGTTTGGCCAGTCACTGGGAGATGGTCTCTCCTTAAGGTTTTCTTCAACGCAAAGTCTATGGAAAAAATTTCATGCCCCCCAAAAGTGGTCATGAATAAAGGTGGTTGCTACATAGAGAATTGTCTTTCTTGGAGGTTTCCCTGTACAACTATTTTCATTACTTCTGCATACTATAAGGGATGTATTTTTAATAAAGAGAATTTGTTAGATGAGCAAGATAAGTGCTCAAACACCTCTTGTCAGCAAAAATAAGTGAATTGGTAACATATGTCACCTTTTAGATGCATTCTGCTAATATGTGCTGACAAAGATGTAAAATCAAAGATAAACATAGGTAATATGTGAATGGTCACCAGGAGCACATCTCTTAATAGCTAAAAAAAATCCAGGCAGTAGGTAGGATTAGGTATCAAAAGGCAAAGATAAATTCCAATAAGTATAATACAGTAGGCCAGAAAAATAGCTAGACAGAACTGTCCACTCTCTCATATAATTGAAAATGCATGCTACACATTGACTATTGCAGGGGATATATCACTTGTCTCCCCATGAGCTGACCTTCGTTTGAATTCAAGTAATGGCTGGTTGATACAAATTCCGCATTTGGTTCCCATTGACCACAGTGCTGATGTAAAATATCCTCAGTGGTAGATGGAACATGGGTTCCTTTGCCGTCAGGCTAAACGTAGAAGGTTTCCAAGGTTTTCCTCTTTATATAACACAAACGCAGATAAATTCTATCAAGAAAACCTCCACGAAGGCAAATTTTTCCCAATACTTGATCCAGGAGTTCCCTTCTCTTCTGGATTGAGTTCAAAGACGACAGAGTTGAACATTGGTAGTCATAAACTCAATTGTTAAAAAAGGTTATAAAATAAAATGATTAATGCAGAAATACTGAATGTTCATTACTAAACTACAAAACTCTATGATTAGGACATGTTTATACAATCACTCAAACATTTTACTTCTTTCCTTCTTTTCAACCTCTCACAAGATTTGCAAAGGATCGGTTTTAACATTCCTAATTTTTAATCAGGTCAAACAGTATTCGCTAGAAATTTAACATATCAATACTGAAGTGAACCCATGCCTCTAGAAACTTAATAAATCAGAATTCTATTTTAGTAAGTGAAAGCCATACTATGTAAAAACAATAAATAAATAAATAAAATAACATAAAATAAATAAAATAACATAAAATAAATAAATAAAACATAAAATAAATAAAATTATGAACAATGAAACAAATACTTTTTTTGAGCTTGTTTATCTTTATCTTTGTTTTTCGATGATGATGATGAAGAAGAACTAGATGATGATGATTTTGACCATGAACCTGTTTCAAGAACCTGTCCTGCAGCCTTCAGCATCTCACCCTGGACAGCTGGTGGAAGTTTTGCAATAAGAGGAGCAACCAACCAGATGCGGCTGGGTTTGTCTATTTCAAACCTGGAAGTACAAGCAGTTTTAATAAAGTTTATTACAATGTAACGACTGAATCCATTGCAGTGGTTGATTTTAATAACTAAAGTTTTTTTGGTTAGAATACAAGTACATCAATATTTAAGATTCCAAAGACTTACTTAAACAGAAAAGTAAAAAAGTAGCACAATACTCCAAGAATCATGTAAAAAAATACATAAAATAACAAATAATAAAAAAAATTAAACATAAACATGTATTGTAAGAAGGGTACTGTACTACATTATCTGAAAGCATAGTTTCGCGAGTCAAAAACACTTTTTTTCACACGTAACTATGCTTTCAGATAATGTAGAAATATAGGAAAATTTTACAACAAACTTTTTTGTTACTTATCAAATTTTAAGCATTTTATTCTTGTAAAGTGTTACTTTAAAGTGAAAAAATTAACACAACATTTTCAACAATCAATTTATTTGTATGTAATTCAGTAATTGATTATTGCTGGTCTGTCATTTTCTTTAAACTAACAATCAATATTAAGAGTCCAACAACAAATTCTTTTAGTTTAAGAAAACATCTTTTTATGATAGAATTATTAATATCACATTATAAATAAATGCATGTTTATTTTAATTAATGCTGAAGTATTTAGCCCACTTAAATATTTGATTTTGAGTATAAAAAGTATTTTGTTAGGAATATAAAAAAGGTGCAATAATCTTTAAAAACTACAGTCAGACCTCGTTATAAGGTCACCGTAAGGAACATCGGAAAAGTGACCTTATAAGCAGGGTGACCTTTTAACCGATTCATTAGCAGTTCGTAACTAAGCACTTGTAAATAGTACACATTATGACTTTTTAAAAATGGTAATACAAACGAAAACGATCGGCCATAAATTAAATATTTAAGTCAATACATTTTAACAGAAATAGTAAAGAATTAAAAAAAGTTAGATTTTTAAATTTCTTTTAAATTTAAAATAAAGCTGTTTACAAATTTTCTACATTACATCTTACCTTATTTAAAATAATCATTTATGCAGGTCTGTTTCGTTTTTGGCTTCATTTTTCGAACAATGTTTTCTAGATTTTCTAACTTCTCAAAATGTTCCTCAGCTCCCTCATGGTTTGTAAAAAAATTTCGTATGACATTTATTGCATTGAAGGCTTCCACTTGGGTTACAGCTACAGTCTCAGGATCACTGTCATTGTCCTCACTGTCCACAACTTGTGAAACAATTTCAGAAATTGTAGCTTGTTCGTTGGCTGCAACATTTTCCGAGAACTCAAAAGTGGTAATTGCCTTGTAAGGAGGTTAAATAGGCTTTTGTCAGAAAAGAGCTGCCCTCGCCTCAGATAAAAATGACCTTATAAGCGATAACGATTTTTAAAACTTGACCATATATCCGATAATCTGTAACAAAGAATTCCTATTCAGTGAGCCGGGACTTTGGAAAAGTGACCTTATATGCAGATGGCCTTATATCGAGGTCTGACTGTATATATTCTTTAATCAAACTTTTTACAGTAAAAATACATTGCAAAATATAGTTATGCATGTTAAATAAAGATATAGATTTAGAAATTAACATATAAGTTCAGAAGATATAATAATTTAACACTAAAATATGAAAAATAGCATGACAGTAACAAAAATAAATTCTATAAGTTTAAAACAGAACTGATAATCGAGAAATAAATATGATTGTGGTTTGTAGAAATCTTACTTTGAAGGGCAGCAATTTTTTAAGAATTCTCCTTTGATAGTAGATTGATTTTCTTCACTCATCATTTGGAAGACATCAATTGTTGCTTTGGCCACACTATCCAGCCACGTATTGATCTGAGGAGGATCCTGCGCCTCACACTGTTTGTACATGAACTGCAACTCTAACCAAGATACTCGCAAGGTCCATAAGTCTAAATTCTGAAATTATACCATCATTCAGTCATAGAGAGATAAATATATTAAAACATTTTAAACTCTATTTCTATTCTTGAAATTACTGAGGTTCTGAAATTACAGGTTCAAAATAAATAAATAAAAAATAAATAAAAATAATAAATGAAAATAAATAAAATCAAAACAAATGAAAAAGAAATAAAAATAAGAAATAAAATAAATAAAATTTATAAGGAAATATAAATAAGAAAAACTTTAAAAAATTGAAAATATATTTTTATGAAAGATAATTCATCAGTTCTTTTCTTAGCACTCCAATGTTTTAAAATTTATTTTAAAAAAACTATGCCTATTTTAATTCAATCAATAAAAGTAATTAAGGTATTAAGCTATTTTGTAAAATTTTTAATATTGTCATGTTATAAAAATTTCTTAATGTTCCACAAATGTCTTTTTTTCCAATCATACTTGGAGTTGGGGTATTTTTTAAGAGATTTTCAGAACTTTGATATACATTTTGTGATTGCCATTTTTATGGTTGCAAAACTACATCACTACATAAAAAGAAAGACTACATGAAAAGTAAATAAGTAGGCTTTAACAATGATGGTAAATAAATTAAATAAAAACTTAGGCAAAACCTCTATTGTTGTGAACTGTTTTAGAATGAAAATTTTGTGGTAGGTGAGTAGGTATTTCTTGTGCACAATTTTTGCTTACTTGTATCACAATTTTTCATAATGAAAGTGAAGCAACCCCAATAATTACATAAAAATCCAATAAAACATAACAATAACTAAATACTTGTAATTATTTACCTTCCCAGAAATTTACAAGGGAATAATTCATCTTATATACTTAATACTATATACTTTAGGGTCATAAAATAAGATTGCTCAAACCCTGACTATAAAAACTGAAGTAAATTCTACAAAAAAACTTAAACTGACAACTAAAACTTTATATATATATATATATATATATATAAGAGTGCCCCTTATATTTCCCATTTGTCATTTATTTAGAATTATATCCTTTGCCTGAAGACACGAATGTGATTTCATTGTTCCTGTTTTAAAGATTTTATGACCGTTTAATTAAGAAATTGGCATTAATTTTTTTAATAATTATGATTATTAAACTAAATAAACTGAAAATAACTAAGTTCCTTTCAGTTACATAAGGTGTTGTTTTAATTAGAAATGTTTGATTTAATAACATTTCGATGAACATATTTTATAGGCAATCTCTTTATAATTTTTCATTACATTATTTTCAGAGCACAAATAATAGTCATAATTATTAATTTAAAAAGTGAAGCATTCCTGAAACTGCACATTGTGATCCAGAGGATCACAGAGGTTAAAGCTGCAGAATTTTAAGACCAACAGCATTATTATGGCAATGTGGTGCACACAGGCCATAGATATCAGGGATGAGATTGGCCAAGAGGCAAAGAAGATGAATTTTCACGCGAGTAAATCTTACGTGATTTATAGCAAAACTATCAGTAACATATTCTCATCCAGTTTCGCTGCTGTTGTAATGCCTATATATAGCAAGAATCGTCAACAGGAAAACTGCCACATTTATAGTAACTAATTCAAGAAAAAAACTTACTTTTTACAAGAGTCGTGATAAAGGATTTTAAAATCGCGGGAATACAAATAGCAATCTTGGATTTTAAAATCGCGTGAATATAAATCCCGACATTGAAATCACGTGAATGAAACTCGACATTGGATTTCAAAAATGTGAAAATACAAATCATGATGGGTAATTTTCAGATCGCGTAAAATACGAATAACGATGCATAATTTCTAAATGTCGTGAAAACGAATTCAAAGCCAAACTTTTAAATATGAAAATAGATGTTGGATATTACAACCGCAAAAACGAATCACAACATCATATAAACTCACGTGAATACGAATCGTTACATAGAATTTTAAAAATGCCTCAATACAAATCGTGATATTGGATTTTTAAATCTTGTAAATAAGAATTGCAATGAACGATATTGAAAACGCGTTAATAAGAATTGCAATGCGCAACTTTTAAATCAGGTAAATAAGAAAATCGATGTTTGATATTATAATGCAGCGACGTCTGGATTACGAAAATACGAGCTATCTACGGGACGGGTGAAAATGAGAAAAATCTTATTTTCTGCTCGTAAAAGCTAATAGCTAAAATAAATAGATATCGGGAAGGGTTGGCAGTTACGTAGTTTGAATTTTCTATTTATCTTTCGATATATTATAATCAAATCGGAAATAGATATATAATTATTTTATTTCAACGGCTAAGTTTTCAGAAAAAGCAGAATATTTATTTATATATAAACTTTTAGAGAATTGGAGTTTTTTATAAAAAGGCTGCAATTCGAGAGACAAAAGCGAAAAAGGCGGAAATCTGCTAAAAAGCAGAAAAATCTCATCCCTGCAAGATGGTACCCATAAATCTGAACCTAGATGGGCTTCAAGCCGCTGCAAGGGTTTGAACTCCAGTTCTTTACAATGATATTTCAGTGCCTTAACCACTGAATCCCCACGGCTCAATTAGTAACTAACAATTATTATTTGTACTTAAAAATCCCACAGAATATATAACTGAAATCACAAAGCAAACATGTAATCTTAAGAGATTTCTAAATTTTCAGGTAAAGGAATCATAGGCTTAATTTGAAAAATAATTCAGAAATGTAGAGAGAAGAAGTTAAGAGTGTTACAAGCAACCATATGCAGTGAAATCTCTCGGGAGCGATCACTCTCTGTTCCACATTAAAATGATCGTTAATGAAGGCTGGTCTTAAGAATTAACACCATCGACTTCAAAGATACATGATTTTTCACAAGCAATATTGATTTTACTCAGTGTCATTTTCTCGGTGCGGAAAAGAAGCTTATTTACTACTTAAAATAAAGAATCAATACTCTAAACAAAAATGCTATCAAACAAGCACACAGTGAAACAGTATAAAATCACCAATTAAAAACTAATACAAATAATAAATTGATGATTAAATACATACTTGAAGAACACTAGCAATTAATGCTTTTTGATCAGATGGATCAAATATATTGGGAGGGATGTCCGCTTCATGGGGACGACAAATCATCCTCAGTAACTGCTGAGACTAATGGTACAAAACATTTTTGATGATTAGACATAAATAAATATCAAAAATACTAAATTACAAAATAAATAACTATTATCACTAATTAAAATATTAGAAATAAAAACAGAAGGAAAAAAAAATTTATGCATGGCCCCCCACAATTGAAACTAAACAAAAATTCAAATTTTTTTTCAGATTGTTTTTATATCCTTGCAGCAAAATATATTTCTTTAAAACAGTATTTGATTAATTACATTCTTAATATTAGTTTAGAACTTACATATACAGTTAAGAGAAGAAAAAACACTACACAAAATGAATTACATTATACTGGAATAGTTTTGAAAACCAAAGTTATTCCAGGATTTGGAGAACTTCTATTTCAGATACTTAAACCAGTAAAGAAGTAAAAGAAAAGCCCCTCTTACCACCAAAATAATGTGTTCACTTCCATAGCAAACCAATGAAGTTTTTGACAATCATCCTATGGATTACTACACACAAATTTCAAATGGTGCCCTTAAATCTTCGTCTTAAGTGCTTGATTTTTGGCAGTTCAATTATAAATTCACAGTCCTATTCTTCTCAATCAACAGTTTGAACTTAAAAGTCAGGATAAATGCAATGTGTAAACAAATCAACTATATATTTATTTCTCTCACATGATACCAAAGCTAGAGTCATCTAAAATAATTATTTTGTTAGAGTGTCTTAAGTACTAAAGTTAAGTAATGTTAAATCATAAAGAATTTCAAGCTAGAGGCAGAACTATATCACTGAGTGGAATAAATCAATCAATTGTATATATCATGGACTTCTCTTGAAAAGTTAAAATTTAAATTAGAATAACTCCATGTAGTCAAAGCTGCGGGCAACAGGAAGTTAACTTACTTAAGTGTTTTCCAATCCGCACAATACAATTTCAGAATACTTTTACAGAAAAGGATTTTGTTGTTTGAAAACTAGGTTAAATTAACACTAGATTGCCCAAGGAAGTCATATTTTAGTGTTAATATTTACTAATAACTTGTTATATAACTGTAAATAATATAAAAAATATTAAAAATTAATTTTAAACAAATTTCTTTACACATTAGTTATTCTTTTGCAAGCCAGTCATTTTGACTGCTTTTGGGCAATATACTAAGTTTCAGTCTTTCTAGTGTTAGATATGTTTTTGCCAGGCATATAGTATTGAAGAAATCTCTTTACTTGTTGGTGTGAAAGCATTTGGTCCAGAATGATCTCTTCTGAGCAGAGCACTTCAGGATAGCGTAAACATCTTTCATAAATCCACTCCTGGCAACGGATCTGTTTGAGGACATGCTTAGCAAATTCACTTAAGGGGGCAGATTCTGAACCTGAATTCACAGCTGCTCCTCCTGACCCCTGATTCTGTGGATGACCCAGAGAAGGTCTAGTAAAATGAATGAGTTGCTTCAGTTAATAATGAATTAGCTTGAAGTGATTATAGAGTATATGAAAATAACATAGCAAATAAAAAACTATCTTTATGTACTTCAATTAATAGATGAGAATGTTTAAAAGTAAATTAATTCGAAATAAAGAAAATTGAGTATTAAACAAATACAGTCGAACCTTATTAATAACCGGATAATTAATAGCTAAATTGTAATAGTCGAATTTTCTTAAGTGCAAATGATATTTCAAGTTACAAAATCAAACACAAAAACTTGCTTTTTTTGAATAAACATATCTTTATTCGACGGATTTGGATTTCTGGTCCCCAAAATATAGGGGGTCGAAGCAACCTGGGAAATATAATCCCCATTGTTTGGTCAGGAGAGCGATTCAAAGTTTGAACCCCTTAACGTTAATTTTACTTTTTGCATATTTTGACATATTTTGAGAACTTTTTAAGTGGATTGAAATATTTTTGCACACATTTATAAAATTCGTTTGACTAAAGGTATTTCCGTGCAAAAAATAAATGCTAGTAAACATTATTTTTTCTTATTTTATTTAATAATAGGCGAAAAAATTCTTTATTGTACAGTATAAATATTTTTACATTATTTTAAAGTATGTAATTTTACATGGCTAAACTAAAAATCTGTCAAATAGTTCCTGAAAATTTGTACAGATAAAATTTGATTTCTCAGGAACTATTTGAGCGATTTTGCTCAAATTCTGTATTTTGCCAAGTAAAATAACATACTTTAAAATGAATTTAAAAAATTAATACCTTGCAAATCAAAATTTTTCGATTATTTTTAAATAAAAAATAATAAATGTTCACCAAAAATTATTTTTTGCATGGAATAATCTTTAGATAAACAAATTTTATAATTGTGTGTAAAGATTTTTCAATTTATTAAAAGAAAGTTCTTGAGAAATAGCAAAATATGCAATTGTAAAATTAACATTAAGGAGTCCAAACTTTAGACTGCTCTCTGAACAAACTATTGGGACCATATTTTCCAGATCACCACTACACCCCATATTTTGGGGGTAACATATTAGAATTGTTTGGAAAAAAACTTTTTTTATTCTATAATTATTAGATGAGAAAATTATTAGATTATTACAATTATTAGATTGAAAGTTATTTAGGACGGTCCATTTTTTTTTGTGCACTGCCCATTGCGCAATAAATAAATAAATGGACCACCCTGAACAACTTTTGATTAAATGATTTGATCTTCACGTTCTTGGATTCAATCTTAATAGTTCGAGGGGTGGCTTTAAATATGCTAATTAATGAGTGCAGACAAAATTTAATTTACAAAACCATACACAAAAACGTATTTTTTCCGAATAAACATATCGCTTTTTCAATAGATTTGGATTTACTTCCCCCAAAACAATCTAGAAAATCTGGCCCATGCTGAACTTTGGATCGCTCTCCCGACCAAAAATTGGGGACAATATATATCAGATTGCGGCTACTCCCTATATTTTGGTGGCCAAAAACTGAATCCGTTGAAAAGATGTTTGTTTATTCAAAGAAAGTTCATTTTTGTGCCTAATTTTGTCACTTAAAATATCGTCTGCACTAATTAATTAGCATTGAGGTTAACCCCTCAAACCATTAAGATTTATCCTAGAACATAAAGATTGGACCATTAAATATAAAGTTATTCAGGGTGGTGCTCTTTTTTTTGGCACACTGTATATACTAACAATTTATACATTTTATTTTGAACTGAAATAGTCTGCAATTGATTTTTGTTTCTTCCTTTGATTTTTCACATTTGTTCCAGAACTGTTGAATCTCTTTCAAAAAATTTATAGAAGATGCATTTTCTTGTTGAGTGAGAAATTTTTAAAAATTTCCTCCGCATGAATATTTGGCAATTAATTCAATGCTTATTATATGTTGTTACCCGTTCCTTTCATGTTAAGATTGAAAATTTCATGTTAAACACGGAAAATATAATATTAATTGATAGTTGACTTACGGGACCAAACATGTGCTTCATGTAAAGCAAATTTCACGTTAAGAGATTTTGGATTAATGAGGTTCGAGTGTAGTTTATTAATAACTAGAAACATAACTTGCTGTACTTTTTAAAGAATTGTAAAATTAAGAATCATAAGTCAATTTTAGTAATATATAAAAAAAATATGAGTAATATTTTTTTGAATTTTCATTTTCTACATTTCTGACATTTAGGTCTAAGTGACTCACAACATTTTGAATGACTAAACACATCTTTCTAAATAATATTTCAATGAAATTTCAAATTCATGCCTTCAAGATTTAAACTATGTGCATTAAAAAAAATTGAATAAGTTTTGATTTAGTTGATAGTTTCACAAACCACATAAATAACTATTGAAATATTTTTTATATGTAGTAATTTTGTATGAGCAGCTTTGGTGTTAAATATTCAGTAGTTACAAATGATATCTAGTTTTAGTCATTTTAGAATTTCTTTCCAAAAGTAATTCATTGAAAGAAAAATTATAAAAAGAAGCTAAACTGAGAAAGTTTTAAAAGTATTATTCCTAACTAAGGTTTTAAATAAATTGTTTTAGCAAACATGCACAAATTCAAATACAAAATAAGACACTCACGGTAAGCCCAAATCATCCATGGGTCCAAGTAAATCAGTTATATTTAATTCTTTGCTTTCTTTTAATTTATTTTCTGATGTTGGAGAATCACCTGAAAGAGAAATAAATAGCAAATATATATATA